CTGGAAAGGAGACAATAGGGTAACTTATTGTAACTGGTCTCTGTCAAGACTTTAGAAAAGTTAACCAACTACTCTAAGAAATCAACTAATCCCTCATTCAAAAAATGAGGCCATTGGTGTGTGTGTTGAGCGGGGAAGTGGTCTCTACATTTTCTTCTCATACTTAAATTATATAATTAAATGACTTCTGTTAAACTATCTATAAAGTTATTCTTCTAAACCCAGTGGTCGGCAAACTCATTAGTCAACAGAGCCAAATATCAACAGTACAACGATTGAAATTTCTTTTGAGAGCCACATTTTTTAAACTTAAACTTCTAATGCCACTTCTTCAAAATAGACTTCCCCAGGCCATGATATTTTGTGGAAGAGCCACACTCAAGGGGCCAACGAGCCACATGTGGCTCTCGAGCCGCAGTTTGACCACCACAGCTCTAGCAGATAAACATGCTTTATTTCTTCCATCTTAAAAAAAAAAACATAACAACAACAACAACAAAAAACACACCTCTTCTTATACTGCTTCTCCCTCTGGGCACTGCCCTATTTCTCTAATTGCCTTTTCAGCAAAATTCCTTGGAAGAGATGTCTTATGATCATATCTTCACCTCTCTCCTCCCATCCTCTCTTGACCACTGCATCACATCACAGAAACTTTACTTGTAAATATCACCAAAGATCTCTAGCAATCAATGGTTGGTTATTCTTTCACCACACTCACCTGGTTTCTGTCACTCCTTTTCAGTCTAATTTTTTGGTTTTCCTCATATCCCCAAACTCCAAATATGGAAAATTCCCCAAACACAGGCCTTGTCCTGCTTGTTTCTCTCTCATGCAATGGGTGATTTCATAAGACTATCCATGAGCTTATGACTTGAGACTTCTCTCTTGATGCCATGCATGAAGATTCAAATGCCTACTTGAAAACATTGCTTAGCTATCAAGATGGTATTTCAAACTTAACATGAAAAAGTGCCCACCTCTAACTTTCTCTTTAAGTCTTTCCAGTCCCATTAAATGGCAATTCTCTCCTTCCAGCTACTCAAGTTATAGCTTTGGAGTCACTTTTGAGTCCTTTCTTCCTTCACACTACATCTCACCCATCAGCAAATTCTATCAGCTATTCCTTCAAAATATAATCAGGGGCCCAGCCATTTCTTTCCACGTCTACTGCTACCATCATCTCCTACTTGAATTATTTCAGTTGCCTCTTACAACAGTCAAAAATCCATGGTGGAAACAGATGGCATATCCAAGTGGAATAGCTGAGAATTTAATAAAGGTGGACAAGATTGAGGGAAACTAACAAATGATGGTCAAGTGTCCTGTGTCTAGAAGGCAGAGAGTGCCAATGGAGTCATTACTATCCTTAAACCTAAGGGAGCAAGGAGTAGTAGTAATTACCTGAACAACAATAGCAACAACAACAACAACAACACACACACACACACACACACACACACACACACACACACACACCAGGAATTGCATTCTTCAGTGACAACCACCAGAAAGAAAAATGGAGAAACGAAGACCATGAACTCACACTCCTTCTGCCTTCTGATCTTCAGGTCGCAGACAAAACAAACCCCAAGGCACAAACCAGAGAGATCACTAAGGCCAGTCTCCTAGCTCCACAGGCTCATCGGGGACACAGAACAGAGTGGAAATCCATAGAGAAGGGAACTGGAAGAGAAAACAGGATACCTGACAAAATGTCATCGTCTGCAAAACAGAAATAGATGTCACTGTCACCGAGTGAACTGAAATCATCAATTCGTAAAGCATTTAGCACAATGGCCGACACAGTTTTTAGGGAACAATACCAACTCTTACTTGCCTAGCATAGCATTTCCAAGTGTAGATTTTTATGGAGAGATGACTTCCAAACTTCAGATTATGAGCAATTAGGGGCTGTGAATTTAATGGATTCCTCAGCATTTTTTTTTTTTAAGAAATAGAAAAGACCAGCATGCATTTCATGAAGAAAAAAATGTTGTCTCAAAAACATTACTTTCAATTAAATTCCACTTAAATACATGTTAAACTTAATGTGTAACTTATATGGGTGTGTGTGTGTGTGTGTGTGTGTGTGTGTGTTTATGAGTATGTTCAAGTATATATTCATTCTCTGAGTCATTATGTAACATACATTTCTTATAAATAATCATGATCAAAAACTACTTGAAAGCCACAATGAAAGAACACTCTGGCTATGCCTTCTTGCTTCTCATTTATTCCTCCCCAAGAAGTGACTTACTTACCTGATTGACAAATGTGAGAGGAAAATTGAGCGGATGTGGTTGGTTCCTTTCTCTTGTGCCTACTAGTCCCCTGTTTTGTGGGTAAGGAAGGGAAGACCAGATTTACATCCACGAGTCAAGGTGTCATGAGAATTGGAAAGGCCTCTGCACAATCATCTGAATTCTGACTTCCCTCCTCATAACAACAGCCACACACTGAGGTATAATTATGTTCAGGACACACTTTTATTTAATCTCTATCCTCACAAACATTCAGCAAGGTAGTCATCATTGCCCTTGTTTTACAAATGAGAAAAGTCAGGGTTAAAAATAACTTGTCTGGCTCACACAACCGGTAAGTGACACAGCCAGGTTGAACATCTAGTTTGATTTGCCTCCAAAAAAGAGAGCTATCACCATTTAATGTGCCCCCTGCATTGCCCGCCCCAGGCTTCTTGAGGCTGGGCTTCCGTATGGTAATCTGATCCTCAAGCAAGCTGCATGCCATAGTTTGTACGTACAAAAAAAAAAAAAAGTGTAATACATAATAATTCTTTTTTTTTTTTTTTTTTTTTTAGAAAGCCAATTTGGTCCAAGGTCTTTCTTATGCATCACTTGATTATTTCTTTTGTGGTTGTTGGGTAAAGCTAGATAAATGAGAGGCAAGAAAGGAAGATGTACACTGAACTCTAATGTCTTAATGCTGAATCATTTGTTGACAGTAAATTACATTTACAAAAATCTAAGGGTTGAAAAAGCTCTTAGAGATACAAATGCAGAATCTTTTTACAGATGAGTAAAACAAGCAAATATATTTGCATATTTGTCAAATAACCAACCCACTCATCAAAGCAGAATTTCATTGCAGTGTAAACAGATTTCTAATACTTTGGGAAGCAACTCCAAAGTTGTTTTGCTCATCCAAAGTTTGCATTGTAAAACTTCCATTGTTTTTCTCTTCTCAAGCATTTATGTAGGGATATATGAAACTAACACCGTGCTTTTTATTTTAGGAGAGGGAGAGAGCTGTGAATAGAAATTGCAAGTAGCATTTTTTAGTTGTGGGATTTTGATATCCCATGATCAGAATATTAGCTGTCTTTGAAGGGATAATCCCACTGCACAAAATAAAACCCCAAACATTGACACAAGGTTTTGTCAAGTCGCATACTTAATAAAAAATTTTAATAAAAGAATGAGAATTTGCACATGGCTCACCAAGTCTGCAAGTTCTGAATTGCAATCCGTTTTTTCCTCTCTGAATAAATCATTTTTAGTGATGAAAAAATGAAATAAAAATAAAATAAAATCCAGCAACCCCTGAAACACCCTTTGGCTTTCTGGAACAGCTTACAGTTTGCTATTCGGGGTTACTACCTATTCATTTGGCGTCATGATGACATGTTTAGAGATAACATTGTTCTTGACAATTATGAACAAAATAAATGGCATAATCTCACTTATATGTGGAATCTAATGAACAAAATAGGTCCAGAGACATGGACATATGGAAGAGACAGAACGATCTCAGAGGGGAGGAGATACAAGGGAAGGGAAGAGATTACCCAAAGAACTTCTACAGTATGTATATGAGCATGGCCCGTGGACACAGACAATAGTGCGGTGAAGGAGGATGGAGGGAGGCGGGGGGAAGCAGGATGGAAGGGAGCAAGGGGAGGAAATGGGGACATCTGTAATACTCTAACAATAAAAATAACTTTTAAAAATAGCTGAATGTAGAATCTAATGAAAAAAAATATGATAAATAAAATAGAACTAGAGACATAGAAGCATGGGACAAACTGAGGAATTTCAGAGGGAAGGCGAGATGAGGGGGAGGGAGTGGAGTACCAGAGAATTTATATGCATATTTGCATAACCCTTGGACACAGACCATAGAATGGAGAAGGCCTGGGAGGGGCAGGTACAGGGTGGAGGTGGGGGGGGTCAATGGAAAAAAAATACAAACACGAAGGGGACATCTGTAATACTTTCAACAGTAAATATAAAAAAAAAAATTCTCCCCGAAACCGGTTTGGCTCAGTGGTAGAGCGTCGGCCTGCGGACTCAAGGGTCCCGGGTTCGATTCCCGTCAAGGGCATGTACTTTGGTTGCAGGCACATCCCCAGTAGTGGGTGTGCAGGAGGCAGCTGATGGATGTTTCTCATCGATGTTACTATCTCTCTCTCTTCCTCTCTCTATATATATAAAAAAAAAAAGAATCAATAAAATATTTAAGAAAAAAAAGTCTGATAAGTAATAAAAAATAAAAGTAATGCAATAAGGAAACAAACCAACACAATAAATAAACAAGTTGCAGCTGGAGATTCTGGGAGGAAGGAAAATTCAGAGTACAGCTGCACAGCATTTCCTCAGGCTCCTCCAGGCCGTTATCTTCCCGAGGGAATCCCCCAACGCCCCAAACGCCCCGGGCCAGAGAGCAAACCCCCAAACTCCAAGAAGCCCCGCCCCTGAGCTCAGGGAGGCGGGGCCTCCCTGCCACCCACCAATCGGAAGCCGCGTTCCCCGCCTGCCCCCTGCTGAGCCACCTTGCCTGCCGCCCGCGGTCACTTTTACGACAGTTTCCGGCCGGGGTTGCGGTACCGCTGCCGAGGGCTCCGGGTGCCCGCGTGTGGACCTTTGGTCCCCGCCGGCGGCGCCCTTGCTGTCCGGGGGCGGCGGGGAGCGGGGGGCCGCGGCCTTCGGGGCTGGGATGAGCCGCGCTCTCGGCGGAGGCAGGGGAGCCGAGCCGGAGCCATGGTGAGTGCGGCCCGGCGGGTCCCGGCCGGCCCCGGGCCTGACCTCAGACCCAGCCCGCGGCCGGGAGAGGAGCCGGGGTGGGCCCCGGAGGGTCCCTGTCCGGGGTGCAGAGCTGGGTCGCCCCGCCGGAGCCTGGGCCCCGCCGCGGCCCGCCGCCTTTCCACCCCCGCTCCGGCGGAGACGCGTTGATCCTTCTCTCCCCCCAACACGTCCTCCCGGGACTCGCTCCGCTCCGCTCTGTCCCCGGGCCTGGCGGACCCCTGCGCCTCGCTCTGGTCCGCAGCCGGGGATGCGGGGGCGGAAAGCGAGGCTCCTAGCGGAAGCGCCTTTTGAGAAATTGACAGGAATCACCCGTAGACAATTTCTCAGCCGGCAGCTTTGTTTTCCTTTTGCTTTGAGCTTGAATGTAACTTCATGGGCTCTGAGGGGAGAGAGGTTTTCAAAGCGAGGGAAATCATCCTTTTTTATTTATTTTAATTTTTTTTTTTTTCTTTTACAGAGAGGAAGAGGGAGAGAGAGTTAGAAACATCGATGAGAGAGAAACATCGACCAGCTGCCTCCTGCACATCCCCTACCAGGGCTGTGCCCAAAACCAAGGTACATCATGCCCTTGACCGGAATCGAACCTGGGACCCTTCAGCCAGCAGGTCAATGCTCTATCCACTGAGCCAAACCGGTTTTGGCTCCTTTTTTTTATTTTTATTTTTTTTCCTAACGTGGTGACATTTCGCAGTGCCTTGGATGTAAGAGTTGTAGTGGTTTTAAAGGGTTATTGGGCTGAGTATTTTCACCCTAAAAGGTGTGTTTCTCCCGTTGAAGCAAAGCTTGTCAAGAGCAGGGATGGGAGCGTGGGTGTGATATAGGGAATGAGAGAAGTAAAATGTTTGCTCTGCTTCCCCTCACCAGGCCAGTACAGTGGTCGCAGTTGGATTGACCATTGCTGCTGCAGGATTTGCAGGTTGGTTTGTGGTTTGGAGATGGATGTGATGTAGGGGAGGTTGAGGGCTTTCTAATTATTTTGTTGCTTTTGTTTTTAGGCCGTTATGTTTTGCAAGCCATGAAGCATATGGAGCCTCAAGTAAAACAAGTTTTTCAAAGTCTTCCAAAATCTGTAAGACTTCCCAAACATTTTTGCTAATTCTTTGCTGCTTGTAGATAAAAACTAGAATTGCATTTAAAGAGGGTACATTTTCAAACATCTATGACGTTCTAAGTGATTACTTGGGTGCCCCACTTTTGCTTTCTACGAGGAGAGTTTAGAAGTTCTGAACTTCGTAGGTGCTTCCCTCCACCCCCCCTAAAAAGTCAAATTTTGTGTGTAGCAGAATTGGGACAGAGGTGTTAACAATTCTGGCATCATGAAGTTAGTGTCACTTTATGGTTGGCACACTATTAACTTCAACATTGTCTGTCCACATCCCCTCTGCCCCCTTGCATCACACACACAGGAATCCAGGGCTCTGAAGGTTGACCCATTTTTACTGTGTGGTCCTGGCACTCCCTAACATACTTGGGAAACACTGCAGTTTACTAGACTCTAGATGACGACTAGATGGGATGTAACAAGAGTACCTTCTGTGGGCACAGATAGAATGAATGTGGCTCTGACAGCCTGCTGAGCATCATGATTGAAAAGAGAGTGATGGTAGGCTTTACAAATATATCTTATATAACAAAGTCAGAAGACCTAATAGCCTGATTTTTCTCCATATATATATATATATATATATATATATATATATATATCTTAATCTGAACCACTTGTCTTAAAGATCTCTAAATCCCCTTGAGGGACTTGTTCCACAACATACTATGAGATGAAATTTTTATGTAGTACATGGCTATGTAGAAATTTTTATGTAGAACATGGAATCTTCCCTTCACTTCCCAGAAAAAAACTTTTGACTTTTTTTGTCTTCTATTTTCAAGACAGGTTAGGTTGTGTAGAAAAAAAAAAAAAAAAAAGGATATTTAATGATGATTAAAATATTTGTTGCTACTTATAAAGCTAAAATACAAGTTAACAGAAATGTGGAAATGTCTTAGTTTTCCTACTAATTCTATGGACATTTACAGACATTTTTTTTTTTTAGCAACTCTCAGTTTATTCTAATAATCTTTTCTTATTAATGCATTTCCTCTTTCAGGCCTTCAGTGGTGGCTATTACAGAGGTGGGTTTGAACCCAAAATGACAAAACGAGAAGCAGCATTAATATTAGGTGTAAGGTAAAATAACTTAAAATAATTTATATATTTTCTACAACTCTAGAGTTATTAGTAAATGTAAGAAATACCTTCCTTCATTAGGAAGGAATTATTTGTATCATGTCTATTTTAACATCTAAACAATCCCTACTAAATTCCAGTGAGAAGGCACACTGGCACATAGGCATTTTTTAATTCATTGAAAGATAAATGTGCAACAGATAATAACAATACTCAGAGTTGTCCTTTATAAGTTTTTATGGGGGAATTCTGCCTTCATTCCAACATACTTAAACATTCTTTCCAATAAAAGGACTGTTGAAAAAAATATTATCAAGCTCTGTTCAAATTTTAAGAATTCTAATTTTTCTAAGGAACTCTTTACTTCCGATTCAAAATATTCATCTTGTGAGATAGGAAAGAGGTTCCTAAACAGTGTTTCACACTGTTGTGTTGACTTATTCCCATTTTGTATCTTTACCAATATTTGCCCTTTATGGTATGTACAATTTCTTGTGATCCAGAGGTAGTCTGAAATAATCTTTTCCTTTCTAAATTAGCCCCACTGCCAATAAAGGAAAAATAAGAGATGCTCACCGACGAATTATGCTGTTAAATCATCCAGACAAGGGTAAGTAGTCATTAAACTCTTCATATGCATGTTGTAGTGACTTTGTAATTATTATTAATGGGATAATTTATATCTAATTCTTGTCTTATAATGAAGTGCCTAAATCTGTGTGTGAGCACTGTCCCAGGCTGGATCCATTTGTCTTAAAATAATAAATTCTGAGTGAAAAATTTACTTATACATGATGAGTAGATATCTAATAACTACTAGAATTTGGAAGTAGTGATAAGCATTAACAATGTTTTGAGGATCTGCAATTGTGATAAAATTTGATTCCTAATAGTCAAATTCTCCTGGGGTTTGGACTACATTCTTAAAGAAAATTTCAATTAATGAAACCAAAGGTATAATTTTTTAAAAAATTTCTTTAGACTTTTGAACATGAGATTACATAGTTAGAAACCTATAGAATATATTTTATCAGTCTCTGATACACTTCTAAGAAGCTTTAGCTGTGTTGAAGTAATTCCTTGTAATGCCAAAATATAGACCATAAAATCTACATTATAGTGCTCAACTCCTTTCATAAGGAGAAGACTTTCGTTAAGAGGGCTTTGAGTTAAAACACAGTTGCAATTTTTTGGTATCTGACTGCAAAGCCTCTTTTATGAAATTTAGTTTGTATTAACTGGAGGGCTTCTGACTATAGTCTTGGGTGAAGCCCATAAGTTCACATTTCTACCAGTCTCCTTATTGATGTTGATGCTTGTTGGTCTAAGGACCACACTTTGAGAATCACTGCTCCAGCAGATGAGTAGGAAAAAGATTGTATATAACATTGTAAAGGGACAGTAGCAGGAAAAGAAAAAATATGAAGGGCAAAAAAAAAAAAAAAGGATCTAAAGCAAAGTGAGCCCTTTCCAACAAAGCTCAGAAGCCTCTGAGAATACCAAGGTTTTAAAATAACAGATTATAATAAGTTTCTGTTCATTTATGACTTGTATTGGTAGGTAACTTACATTATTTCAAAGTTATGCAAGTCTATATAGGTTTTGTGAAATTCTGTTCATCAGTTTGTCTTTAAAAGGTGCTGTTTTTGTGAAATCTCACTACCCATTGGTCAAATATAGTCCCATATATGTGGTTATCCAGTCGCAGTATTATAATTATTTTTTGGAATACTATTTCTGCTAATTGCATCTCTCAGATAAAGCATAGGGATCCTTGAAACAAGAATAGCTTTTCATCAAACAGAAACTGAGACCCCATTTTTTTTTTCCCCCTATAGGAGGATCTCCTTACATAGCAGCCAAAATCAATGAAGCTAAAGATTTACTAGACGGTCAAGCTAAAAAATGAAGTAAATGTATGGTGAATTTTAAGTTGTTAGTCACTTATATAAAAACAGCTTTTTGTAATAAAATGTCCCAAAGCTACACATCTTAAAAAATGATTTAGCACAAACTAAGTCAAAGCCTTGGTATAAGTTTCTTATTTAAATTTGAAGGTTCTAAATCAAATTATAGAATATTTGGAAATTAATGCTCAATAATATGGACACATACCATTTGAATAGAAGTAGTGTTCTGTCGTTAATCATTTAGTAAATAATTTGCTATTTACTTCAAGGCAAAGTGAACATGAAAGTCTGCTCTCAAGGAACCCCAATCTGATGAGACCTATACACTAGTAATTAAAATGCAATATGGTCCCTATTATGATGGAATTAATACAGGTTGTTATAGTAGTTAGGAAGAAAGACTGTCAAGGAACAGAGAGCTGGTTCAGTTGCTTGAGACTGAATTTAAAAGTAAGTCTAGCCACAACTCTGACTTTAAAAAATTGATGTCATGTATATCACAGGCAGAATTCAGATTTCATACATTAAAATCTTGATAAAAGAGGAGTAAGTCGTTTCTAATCAAGAAAATATTTACAGTGTATTCAGCTAGCGTCTTTAAGCTGACCATTTGTAAAAATAATTTTTATATAAAAGAGTTTTGCATTTGTTGTGAACAAGTTTAAACACGATTAGCTAAACAGATGTCCTGATATCAAAATACTTGAACTCTGAGAATTTATACAGTGATATATTTAAACTAAAGGCCTGGTGCATGAAATTTTTGCACTGTTGTCTCTCAGCCCAGCCTGTGCCCTCTCACAGTCTGGGACTCCTCGCTCCTTACCTCCCACCTGCAGAGGAGGCGAGAGAGGCTCTTGCCACCTCTATTGAGCTTGGTGAGCCATGAGCCTGGCTTGTGGCTGAGTGGCAAACCCCCCTCCCTCCCCCCCGTGGGAACACACTGACCACTGGGGGCAGCTCTTGAATTGAGCATCTGTCACATGGTGGTCAGTGCACATCATAGCAACCAATCTTTCTAGGGGTTCCTCCCATAATGGTCATTTAGGCTTTTATTATATAGACTAGAGGCCCGATGCATGAAATTCATGCATTGGGAAGGGGGTTGCCCCTTGGCCCAGCCTGCACCTTCTACAATCTGGGACCCCTTGGAGGATGTCTTACTACCAGTTAGGGCCCAATTCCATAGGGATCAGGACTAAATTGGCAGTATCCCCCTCACAATCGGACTGCTGGCTCATAACTGTTCACCTGCCTACCTGTCTGATTGCCCATAACCGCTTCTGCTTATAAGCCTGATTACCCAACTGCTCCCCTGCAGGGCTGATTGACACCTAACTGCTCCCCTGCTGGCCCGATCACCCGGACTTCCCTCCCCTGCCAGCCTGATCTTGCCGGGCAATTTGGTTCTAATTGGTTGGTTTCTATGCCAGTGTCAAAAGTTTTGCCTCCTAGGCAGCCATTGGCTCCTCATAGTTGACCCAGATTTGGTTCTGATTGGTTGGTTTCTATGCCAGTCAGCACCTCTGGGTCTATCAATAGGGCCTGATCAGAAAAGTGGGGCTGATTGGCAGCCCTGGTGGGGGCCTGGAGAGAAATGGAGGCACAGCTGCTGACCAGGCCTGGAGCTAGAGAGAAGGGCTAGTACTGATCAACAGCTGCCACAGAGGCTACAGGTCAGAACCTGCTTCTCTCTTAAGGCTTCTCTCCGATTTGCAGCCCCCTCAGCAGTCAGTGCTGGGTCACTGTACCTACAGCCATAGCAGTCGTGAGCTTACACTTGGTCTAACCTCCCGGTTGTGGATGTGATGGACCTTGGTGGGGAGGGGGAGTAGTTCCCTCAGCCTGGCCTGCACTCTGAGACCTCTCAGGGGATGACCAACTGCCTCAATTGGCAGTCGGACATCTCTTGCAATCCAGAACTGCTGGCTCCTAACAGCTTGCCTGCCTGCATGCCTGATGCTCCTAACTGCCTCGGGCCCTACAACTGGGACCCAGGCTTCGCGCCCTCTGGCTGGCCGCAGGCACTCGGAACCCAGCGGCCTCCCTGCCTCAGGAATAGGACTCTGGGCAGGCTCCTGCACCAGGCAGGGGCCGGCCCCAACTTTATCTGAAAGGATATCCTTTCTAGTCTAATTAGTATATTACCCTTTTATTAGTATAAATGACATTTGAGGGCAAATGGCTATTGGTCTAACATATGTAATAATGTTAACCAATGACTTACATAAAACACCCAAAGGAAATAGCTAGTCTGTGGTCTCTGGCAGTACTTATGTTTAGCTTTAAGATGATAACGTATGCTACCTACCATCTGAATTTTATTAAGACATCTTAAAATTCTTAATAGAGAATATAAGCTTTCAAGGTCAAAATAATGGAGGCAATATTTAGTATTGTGTTTAGAGGAATTTCAAAGTTGGGGTATATCTGCTTTTGGTTTATTTTCCATCTTGTTTAAAACCTAATCAAGGATTTGTTATATCTTAAGAGTATAATAAGGCAGCCATGGCTTTTGTGTAGGATCTTTTGTTACTCCCAGAGGGAATGGGTATGAGGTACAGTTGATTTGTTATTCATAGTTATGTTCTAGAAAGTCACTAAAAATAATGAAACATTGTTCCTAGTAAGCCTCTGGTCTCATTCTAGTCAACCAGTGAATATAAAACTTTGTTTTGTGTGTGTTTGTTTAAAGACACCTTATGTGATTTATTGTTGATTCCTTAACACTTAACTCACAGCCAGTACCACTAATGAAGGTACATCAGTTTTGTGTTGGGAACAGTAGGCAGCACTTCCCTAAGCTTGGGTGTCATCTTAAAACAGGGAAATCACCAATAAAAAAACACAAAGATTGAAAAAAATTAGGCACTAAATCACTAAAAGGATACTGTTTACAGTATGGAAAACACGGCATTTTTTTGTACATCAGGTGTTTCAAAATTTTCACCACTCTGTGTGTTCATAAATGACCAGGAAAGCACATCAAAAGTTAATTTGGGGGTAACAAATTTTAGTGAGCACCAAGAGCTTTAAAGAAAAATATAAATTAAAATGTAAACGCAATTTTTAAAAAGACAAGTGTAATAATATGCCAAAAGGCAAACAAGCATGAACTGTAAAAAGGTAAACTTCATGTAGTAGGTATGCCTTTTGAGTAAATAGCATACTTGATTTAAGACAAGTATTAAGACAGTAGGAACCACTTTAATACTAAGAACAGCAGCATATTTCTTTCTTATCAGCTTTGTTTACTTACCTTTATCAACTGGAAGAACCCATATTTCACTGAAGGCTACTAGGCAAACCTCTACCTTTTTTCTTGGGGGAAAAGTGTCATCTATGTAGGGCCCTAGATCAGCGGTCACCAACCAGTGGTCCATGGACCAGCCGTGGTCCATGAGGTCCAAAGGTTGGCAGCCGCTGGTTTAAGGAAACCCTTAGAGCAGCATCACCAACCAGTGGTCCACAGACCGAAGTCCAGGAGGTTGGCGGCTACTGCTCTAGATCATAATGGGTAAACTGATGGAAGTATGATCTGTATCATTTTAATGGTGTTTTGTTTTTATTTTTTACAAAAATTTGATGTGAAATGTTAACATTAGCTACTTACAATGAGCCAGCATTTTCCCAGTAAAGATCCTCACCTAAAGTCCTCAAGAAGTTCCCCAACTTTTAAGTGAAATAATATATAACAAAACTAATTTTACCATAGGCTATTGATATAAACAAGAGTTGAGTTCCTGTCGCATCTTAGCACTGTAACATTAAACGAAACATTAAGAACCTACTGTACTTAGTACATTTTAGAAGGAAAGTGAAGTTTAGTGATGTTAAGTAACTTGCCCCAAGCAACACGCTGAGTAAAAACACTGATGTTTCTCAAGGTCCCATGCTGTTAAAACCTCAGCAGAGTGGTACCTTTCACATATCTGATAACCCAAATGTTTTTCTTGTTAATGGAGAGTCCGGTACTTGTCATACACATCTAGGCTGGGGCCTTTTTGTAAGATGGTATTAAGGGGAGGAATAGTTGAGTACAACACTAACAGATTAAGAGGTGTAGGGTTTGAGTCAAACTTCTGCAATAACGGGCAGGTAACTTTGAGCAAGCCATCTGTGTGCTTAGGGCTCTGCTTCCTCATCCGGTGAGGAAAAAAGAATAATGGCCAACTTTAAAAGTATGAGGATCCCTCCACATTTTATGGATAGGGAAAAAGCCAGAGCCAAATATTTGAGGTAACACATATAGCAAAACTGTAATTAAGCCCTGGGTATCTTATTTTGTTAATTAGTAATTTGGTTCTCGATATTTTAGCCTTCACTGGGCCTCTGCATTGACATTAGATGGCCCCTACATTACACTTTACAAAAACTGCTGATGAAAGTGGGCTATAATGAACTGTTCCTCAAATATAAATCTTTCCCACTCTTAGAATTTCAAGCAAATTTTTTGCCTTCAAGTATTTTCCAAATAATAGGTACCTACAAAAGCATTAAATAAGAAAAATAGCTTAGTTATTCCAGAAGACTCAAACCATTCATCGAACAGTTGAGAACTTAAATGAAAATACTTGTATTCCACTTATTTTCATGTATTATTTAGAATGTTTTTATAGTTATATAAAATTCCCTGAATTGAAGGTAACCTTGGGTACCAGGAAACTTAAATGATTATAAGCTGCTCTGTGTTGTTGACACTGTTCAGAGTGCTGTGTATCTGCTTGGAGCCAACTGTTGCCTTAGCAATAGCATATAGGAAGAAAGAGCTTCTATTCTGTGCTATTATTTCTCACCCAATGAAGACATAGTCTGGTGATAAGGTATAATCTGGAACATGTTAACACTTCCTTATCTTAGTGGAGTCAATTAATGGAATTTCAAATAATACTTATGTGACATTTTTTTTAACCTGAAAACAAGTTGAAAAATGGAGCTCAAAGAAGTTGAAGCATAAGCTCCAGGTAACAATTAGGTATAAAATGATTTTACCAGAAAAACTATAGAAAAGTTTTTGTAATAGTCTCTAAAGTAGAAAATTGCTACATTTGACAACAAAACAACAAGGGTATAAAACATTCAGAAAATAAACTTGTGATTTCACCCCCTAAAAAATCTTTCTATTCCCTAAAATACAAATACTGGAAATGCAAGACTGGGAATGTCAGTGAAAAATAATTTTGACCTTGCTTTTGATATCCTTTAGATTGCATAACAGCATATTGGAAATATCTGGGATGTACACATAAAAACCACTATTTTAATTTGCTATACTAATTGTTGAGAGTACTTGGTAAAATGGTTGTCAAACATATGAATAAAACTCAAGTTACATTCTTATTGGAAAGAACCTTAGGAGATTGGGTAGTCCATCTCTCTCTAAAATGAAATATAGAAAAAGTTAGAAGACAGTAAATCCTCCCATTCTGTACTTACATATACATATTTTCAAACTCAAATAGGTAAGCAAACTGCCTGTAGAATTTCTCTTATAAAAAGCTGCATTATATTTTATCCAGGAACATCATTATGCACCATATTTTGTTACTTGAAGTAGTAATGCAGGTGAATCAGACTATGAAGTGTCCCACTAATAACCCTTTTTAAAAACAATACATATTTCCTTATAAGGTTATACTAGTATGTAACACTGTTATCCAGGAATTTGGGGTTTTGATTACACTACTCTTGATTGGATTTCTAGAGTAAATGATTATTCTTAACCATTTGTCAAAAGTTTAGATTTATCATGGATTGTAAGTTACTACTATGCATTCAAGCGCACATCCTAATAAAGAACTAAAATTTTAAAAATAAGGGTCAGCAAATACCAAATAACCTTATAAAAGGGTACAGGGTTTCCAAACCATAATAGTAAAGATAGGAAGACTGAATGGAACTTTACAATATCCTTTTTTTGGCCTTTAATAATTTGGCAAACCTACAGATAACCAGTTCATGTTCCTTGAGGTCTTCCAAAAAAATTTACTGTAAAAGTAACTTTCCTTTACACACCCAATCATCTGTTATAAGACTTAATGCATTATGGCCAGTTTGCTATGCATCTGTTCTTAGACTGAGCACATTGTAGATATAGCCTATGAGAATGGTATCTTTTAACCTCAAAAACAACAAAAAAAACCCCTGTAAATCTATTTACAGGGGACACAAATGGTACTATTTCCCAATCTAACTGCAACATTCAGTTAACATGCCAACTTTGCAAAAGACTTCCTTCAGTTAAACACTACTCTTGGCTATAAAAATACCAGACATAAAGGTGATGGATCACAACCAAAAGAATGGCTGAAACAGAGATCCATAATACAGAAGTAAACCACCAATTACTTTTGCCGTCTTCCTCTCTAGTTTAGCGTTTCCCTCTTCTTTGTGCTTGCCTATATAAGCTTTCCCTGTTCTTTAGTTTGCTTACCTATATATATCTATACTTTGAGAAAAAAAAAAAAATACATTTAAGCAACCTCCCTTAGGCTTATCCTCAGCAATGTCTGAGGCAAGTTTCCATAAAGTCACCAGCAGTTTGATGTGCTATTTCCCTTAACTTCACATTAAAAAAAAAAAAAAAAAAAAAAAAAAAAAAAAAAAAAAAGGTAATGCCAAACCTATGAATCCTAGGCTTTACAAGGTTTTGGGAAAAGCAGACCATTTTTGCCTCCACATCATCTCAGCTCCCATTTCATGATTTAGTTCCGATTTCACGTGTGCTGGCACAGTATCTGAGCTGTTCAAGACCTTTAGAATAGTTTCTTGCTTGCGTATCCATTAAATGTGAATAGTTAAGTTCTCCCATAGCAACCAACATCTAATAGCCTAAAAAGATGTACCCCTCTCAAAATAAGTTTGGAATGCTACCTGAACCAACAGTGGTTCTCTTTGGGGAGTGGGCTTTTCATTTCTGAACTTGAGCATGTAGTATTTACCCCCCAAAAAGCCTATCAGGATTCTTCAAACATATTATTTTTAAAGGACAAAACATTGAGTTTAGTCACTTATAAATAATGAAATCTTATTACCTATTTCCTTGAATATGGTTATCAGTTCTACTCTAAAGCACTGCTTGGGCTAGTTATACCACTTTTTACAGTGGTCTAATCTTCCTTCCTTTCCCATGGAAACAATCTTTATGGAAGAAGTTTAGTGGATCTGTTATATGTGAAAGAAAATGAAAATCTTTTGTTCTTATACCACATTCATCAATTTGAGGATTAATGAACATATTTCTCTTAACTCATAATTATCTGTAAACCTACTATTGAAGAGAACTAACAATAAAAAGGCCAAGAATTTTACTTGTTTCTAACACTGATGGATAAAAATACATTTGTGGGTAAAGTTTTAAAAACTAGGATATGAAATTACTTCATATTGCCATTTAATGTGCAAGGACTGACTATTCACAACATATCTTACTTTAAAATATGTTAGGATTTTATAAAAAAGCATTTAATAACATCACACCTTATCCTCAACAATAGGTTTAAGCGCTAGGGTTATGTACACTGACCTGGCAATTACTACAATTTTAATTATACCCTGAATTCTCCTTCAATAATTATAAACTAAAAGTACATTTTTATGCACATAAAAAATTAACACAAGTTATGCACATAAAAACAAGATACCAAATGACAAAAAGGGCTTTCTTGCTCAGTGATCTACATAATATTATGGAGCTAAACTTTCCCATAAATCCACAATTGTTGTATATGACCTCACAATTAGCTTCATAAATTGTTACTTTTTGCAACATAGTGTGAAAGTCTTCATCTTCCTAAATTAAGCCATCTGGCTAAAATATATACAAAAAAACACAATCATTCATATTAGAATCTTCAAAACTATTTCCATGAGAAAAAAAATCAAACCAGTGGCTTATTCCATATTTTAAAATTGTTCATACTTCTTTATAAAAATAATTTTAAATAAAGACAAAAAATTCTAGATTTTACTCCACTGCCCTCCAAATTTCTTAGATCACAATTTTATGTTCCAAAGGTTTTCCTAAATCAAATGTATGATCAATTCCCTAAGCCATTCTAACAAATTAAATTTTAATTGCTAAGACTTCAGAGGATTCATCACAAAAAGATTAACTGACCAACTAGTAGTTTGATATAATTCATGAGCAAGTATAAATGCTTTTTAAAAAGCAATCAGGATAGTATTCTAGGCCTCTAAGTAGCTCCAACTACTTTGCAACAGTGGGTATAAAAAGTAGAAAGTTAAAAATCAGCAAATGGAAGATCAAAGTTTATTTACTACCTGCATACAAAAACATATTGCACATCAAACAACCAAAATAAAAATAAAAAAAAAGAAAAACGGGAGGGGAAAAAATAAGAAAAGATATTCTACTGAAGACTAACATGTAGTTTATACAGAATAAACCTTCTGGAAAATGATCTTTTCAGTAGTTCAGGTAATGTCTGAATGGACATGACTAATTCACCTTAGTGTTTTAACTAAAGCTATGTTTGATTTTTAAATACTGTACACTTTAATAAATAAACCAAACAAAGCCTCAATATAGAACAGTCACTGCCAATATCACCCAGTGTCCCTGCAGATGAGAGAGTTTAACAGATGTATTCCAGTGGTCTGCAGATTTTCCTCTACATACAGCATTTTAAAAACACATCAAAACAGACCAGTTTCCAGACTAAACTAATGAAGAAATTACAATTCAGTGCAAAATATCTTAGACTGCATTTCAACTCTAGTTTTCCTCAGGGTGAAGTGGTTGCATATTAAAAATGTAACAAAAGCAGCTAATGCTTTCATAAAGAATATTATGTCAGGGATCCCACCCACCCACCTCCCCCCATTTCTGCCATTTTTTGAAAACAAAATAACATTTCCTATAGCCAGCAACTTTTTTTAATGTTACATATACTATTCTCAAGGCACATCTGATGATATATTTTATAACACAGTAGGTGTCAAAGTATGTTTAACATATGATTTCTTCAGGATCCCTCCCCTTTCTGAATTCCAAATGGAGGAACTGAAAGTGCGATGTAAAGACTGGCGATCCATATTCTATCTTTGGCAAGCTGTACAAGCACTATTGTAAAATGTAATGTAAAAGAACTGTAAACTAGGAACTTCTTCAGTTTATGAAACACCATTCAGGACTGCTGCTTCTTGAGTGTTTTCTTCTTTTAAGGTATTAATCTTTTCTTCTCCTGGAGTACGCTGTAGCTTAGAAATTTCATCGCCAGAAGCACTAGTTGGGCCATTTATTGCCTTTTCTGAAGGACCATGCTCTTCAATCACATCTTTTGCCTGCCAAAGGGAGACAACTTTTTCAACTTCTTTATAAATAAAATCTATAGCTGAGGAGGAAAATAGCTACATAAACAATAATTAGCTAATACATAATTTTAGTTTGATACAATGGATCAAATAATTCAAATATTCTTTAAGTTCAAAACAAATACCAATATACTCTACCTCTCTGGGTATTTCAACTCTGTTTTTAGTACCTAGAGGTACCTAGATTACTGAATATGTAATATGTACTTGATATTACTGAAAAGCTGTACCTAATTTTATTTTAACCAGTTGAAAGCTCACCATGTAAAATATATAGTTAATACCCTAAGTAAAGCAAATAATCGCCTACTTTACTCACCTTTTTAAAAACTCAGTTACATATAAATCCTTTAAAGCATTAAAAGAATTGAAACTTAAAGATCTAAATCCATCACTGAGTAGAGATATGTAACCTATTGCTCCCCAAATTAAGCAATAGTCTTTATGACCAATATCTTTGGGCAGACTGAGCTTTACAAATGCTATTTAGAGTTCTAATGGAAAAGTATTTCAAGCTCAAGCATGCATTCTATCCTCAGTTACCTGGGGCCAACAACAAACTCAACAGTAGTCTTTAACTAAAATAGTATTTGTTTAGTTTGGGGGAACAAGCGATCATACAGAAAGTTAAGTAAAAATAGTGCTAAACCATACGGAGGGGGGGGAGGGGGGGGGCGGGGAAAGCAACAAAACCTACAGTTTAAATTCTCCTTACCATTTCTTTCTTGTTTTTAGCCAAAGTTTCCCTTGGGAGGTTTCTTTGTCTGCTCTGGGACTCAGCTCTAGAAATATAATCTGCAACTGTGACTGTTGAAGATGAGAAAAAAATTACAGGTGTTGAAAAATATGTTTCAAGTTTATTTATGGATAAAGAGTAATTTTACTTTTAAAATAAACTAATGGTGGGTTACCCAATTCCAAGTTTTTCTTAAGCTGGGTAACACCTCCAACCAAAAACAGTTTGAAAAATGTGCCTGCAACTTAGCAATAACAATAAAAAGTTTTAAGCTGGAGATCGAGGAAGCCTAGATTAATGTCCTCTTTCACAGGAATCCAGCCATTTGCTTCCAGTTGAGTCTACGGCTGTGGCATAAGTTTGCTACAGAAATCCACAACCAAGAATAGAAAAGCAGTATTCTGAGCCCAGACAGTATTTTTTTTTTTTTTGGGGGGGGGGGGGGGGAAGGAAATGGGGCAAGTTTGGTATAAATCATGGGGTGGTATACTTTGAAAATTTCATCAAAGATGTAAAAAGTTACTCAAATATTAGCTCTCTCATTTTTTTAAAAAAACACAAGAAATCTAAATGTGGTATTTTATGGTTCCTTTTAAACATTCCACACTAGAAACCATTCTGAGTGATCGACAATAAAAAACTACAAAGCAAACTAAAGATGACAGAAAGCCATCCTAAAAATGTAAACACTGATCATAGTGAGAGAAAGGCCATAATAAATTTGCTAACCATTCTCTCCTCACTCTGCCAATCTTTCAATCTTTTTAGGGACTGAGTTCTGTATGTGTGTTTGCAAGTAGTTGGATGGCAGCAGTGATCTAGAGAAAAGATTAATCTGACCTCACGTCCTACTTACTGCCAACCCAGTGCCACAAATTGACCTCTTGTGTACAGGTACTCTGGGCTAGTCCAACTTTTATGTCTCAATCCTCTCTCCCTGAAGGCTTGCAACTTAGAATTCACATATTTGAAGAAATAACAAAAATAATCATTATCTTTCTTTGGAAGAATTATTTTCTATCATAAACTGGTGAAGAAAAATCCCTGATTATGTGAAATATAGTATATTTTAAATTATGGGAGCAAATTAAATACATAAAGAATGAAAAATAAATGTCTAATTAGTCACTAGTTAGGAAGAGAATTGGTTCATCGGGTTCAAATTTTATGAAAATAAATCATTTTGATGTAATATAAAACTGCATTTATTTACAATTCATTTTTTCTTAATCATAAATTGACATGTTAATACTTTGATAAGATACAAGAACTGCCTAAAAGTTTTAGATAAATTTTTTAAAAGATCAAAGAAACGTAATTCAGAATATCTATCATTTATTAGAAATATCATAAAGATGTTTCTTGTCTAAAAGTGCTTCTTCCAAATTAGAAGAAACTCAATGTACTCATTTTGGAGCTTTAAAAATAATTTAAATTCACTGTTAATGAATTATAAATACATTTAACAATGGTTTCCAAAATTGGGGAGAGTGATACTATCAAATACATTTCATTGTTATGTCTGCATACCTGGTGATAAAACCATTTTAGGAATTATTCTAATTTGGGAAGCACATTAATAATTAAAATCTATTATATTTCTATAATTCAGTCCTCAGTGATACTTGAAGAACTCATCTACTTGGAAACCCTGACAATTACGTATAGACATAGAATAATATACTTTAATATAGTTTATCAATTAAATTAAGAGGCACTTAGTTGGAAAGTTAAAAACTTACCAGTGCCCTTTCTTTCCCATAAGGGAAGGTAAAACCATAACAAATTCTGCCAATTAAAAAACAAACAAAACCCCTATCTATAGCCAGTCTTTAAAATATAAGCCACTTAGAAGTTCAATACAGATTAATACATTTTTAAAATATCTAGAAAAAAAAACAAAACAAAAACAGGCAATTTGTGCAATTTAATTTGGACTCTAGAATTTCCTCTTAGAGGTCCAAGTTAATCAACTGGACACAACACTGTATTGTTACATTCTTAGTAAAGAATATTCATTGTTTAATTAACATTAAGGACAAGAAATTTAAGCAAATGGGAACAAATTAAATAATTGTGCATTTAAAAGAACGTTGATATTCTTTCGATAGAGGCTGCCTTCCTAGAACTGCTGCAGGGGCATTGAGAAAATGTGTACTTGTTCTATCTTATTTTGAGTTTTGGGTTTGTTTTTTTGTGTGTGTTTTTTAGGGGGATATGAGGAGGGAGGAGGGCAGGAATAGGCTAGGGAAAGCAAAAAATCCTAAAGATGAACAGAGTGAAATAAGAATAAATGCAATATGGAACACAAATTATTAAAAATTCCAAATTTCAATTAATACCATGCAGAAATCTCTGCCTCTTCGTTAACAAAAAAACCACTACATTCTTTTTATGCCCATTGACTTAGTAATAAGTCATCATCCATTTAGTTAATAAATTACATTGTAATTTATCCTACGATAAGCTCCCATACTGATAGCTTGAATTTTCTTATAAAGTATGGCCAGATACTATATTCACTGCTGTGCCAGCCTAAAAAATATGAAATACGATCTCTTGATCTAAAACATATCTCTAACACTAAAGGCAGGAAGTAAAGATGAAATGGGAAAACATTTTCTGGAATCTTTCTATCTTTGACAATATTTAATCCCTTTTAAATTTACAAATATCTTTAAAGCATAAATTTTTTTTCAAGAATAGAAACTAATAGCCATATGGGTTTTTTCAAATATCTCTATAGTCACTTAACTTAAAATACATAAGATAATGCTATTTATATTTCTTATTTGGGGAAAACACATGAAAGAATTTGTTCTGGAAAGAATGCAAAATTGATTAGTTTAAAAGGGGTTTATTTGTGAATATGCATGTGATTCTTTTACACAGGAAATGGAATTATGTTCAAAATAATATAGACACAACCAACAAGTTTTCTTTGAAGTTACTAAAACATGACTACTTAAAAATTAACATTCTAAAGCTAATAAGTAAGTACTATTAATTTGAATAGTTAGTAGGTGTAGGGAAAAACATCACACTACAATAAACAAAAACAACATGCATTCCTCTTATTAGGAAAAAGACATTTTCAAGTATTTTTCTCATTTACACTTTTTAAAAAAATGTGGGTATTATAAAATTCCCACAAAAATGAGGTGCAAATGCAGATAAGAGTAAGCAGGCACCATGCAAAAGCTCTCCAGTTTTGCCAATCAATCTCAATCACAATCTAACAACATAGTCCCCTGGGATGGCAGGCCACAACTCAAGTGTGAAGAATCTGCCAAGTGGACAAAATAATGGCCTTCTCAACAGTATTTCCATGAAAAAAAATTGAGTCATATTAGTTCAATTAGACAGGTTACTAAACATTTATAGTGTCAAGGAAGAATGCATTTTCTTAAGAGTAGTAGTCTTATTAGTTGAGTAAACAATTTATGCAATGCACATCTTGAATATATATGCACACATGTGTATATGTAAGTATAATATATTTAGAAAGCAGACACATGACATTTTTTTTTTTCATGCTTATGACCTGCTGTTGTCAACAAGTCCACTCAAGTTACCTGGCTGTCTATCTTCTGCCTGACCCCTGAAACGACGCCTGCGGCTACGATTGCGTCGCTGGGGTTTTTTTTCACTATCATCTGTAATTGCAAAATTTACCATGAACTATTCTGATAAAAACAAAACAAGACAAAAACTTTGTTCCTTCAAAGATTCAAGGAAAGGGAAAGAGAAACTTTCAGTTAAATAGGGAAGACAAAACACATAAATTACTGATAGGAAAATAACTTGTAGTTTTAAGCATTCCAAATAGATTTACAAAATGGAATTATCATCTGGAAATTAAGAGGGTTTTAACTCTTAAAAAACTTTCAGACTTAATTTTTAAAATGCCATCATTCAGGGAAATCAAACTTTTCCTCTCAATACAGTTTATTTATTAACCAAAGTTAATGACAGTTTAGCCCTTTGCAAATTAACGCCTACTCAATATACATATTTTTATTAGTGTCATTTATAGTAATGTTTAAAGAGGTAAGCTGAAAGCCCAATTGTGGTTTATGTACAATAAGAGTATTAAGTGCCTTGCAGTTTGTATATTTGTGTTATGCAATGGCATCAAAGGGCACTTTAATAAACCCTCTCAGTTTCAAATAATTTGACTATATAAATCTGGAAACTCGATATTTAAGACAGATACAAAGCTATCTACTTTGAAACAAGCACTAAAAAATCCAATTTTCAAATTGCATATTTTGGGGGGTTTTTTTATGTGAAAAAAGCATAATACATTACAGTATTATACAATATGTATCTTTTCCCTAAGTGCTTACATACCTAGCCCATTTTCATTAACTGAAGCTGTATCAGATTCAGTCATTCCATCCATCAGAACAGCATCTTCATCAGTCCTTCGTCTACGAGACCGCCTACGACGGTTAGTACTGTGATGAGATTCGCTGGCATCAGTGTCTGCAGTCTGATCTGATTCTGTATTATCAAGTAAGCTGTATGGATTGCTGTCTGGATCTTTGAGCACTATATGCATGTCAGAGGCAAGAAATATTCGTTTAGGAGAGCTGCAGTTAATAGGAATGTTTTGATCTATATTAAGCTATATTAATTAATAATTAAAAATTTCCCCCCAATAAAAATATATTCTGTCTTCAAATATTTTCTTTATCACTACTTTACCTGGTGAGTACTAAAGATAAAAAAACTTGAAATGGCAATGAAAAATTAAAGCAAAAGATGAGCAGACACCTAAGCTTCCTACTGTTTCACTTTGACTTGTTTTGAAAATGTTAGGATATATATATAGCACATAATACATGCTGTTTCTGACATTCACATTCCAAGCTAAACCTGACCAGAGGTTAGAAAAATAAAAATAAATGAGAAATATTCAGCTAATATGAATTAATTTGTAGGAAGAGTTTTTGTCACCTTTATGAGTTTGAGGTGACTGTTGCTTCTTTTTGCTAATATTAATGGACTACTTCCAAATAATACTCAACACCTGCACTCCAAGACTTACTAGAAATTTGTTAACTATAAACTGAAGCAATCAAAACAAGTCTACACAAACACAAAGAAAAAAAAACTAAAAAAGTTGAAATTTTAACTGGTTATAGCAAAATGTGGAAATGAATGTTGACTAGTACTCCCATCTCTACAAGCAAAAAGTAAAGGTGGGATAAGGTGGGGTGAGGGTGGGAAAAGTAAAGTTTTAAGACATAATTTGAAAGAAAAAAATACCCATCTTACCTATGTGCATTTATTGCCTCCACCAATCAAATTATAGAAGAAATTCACCTAATCACGACTTTTCATTTCTAAGTTTCCTTTGGTAACAGCTAGCAAGCTAGCATCTTTGCAAAAGACACTAAGTTTATCCATTAATTATAAACACTAAGTACATTTATTTTGCAATTCAGCATATTATAATATAAATCTTGGTAATAGTGAACAATGTACTAAAATATAAAGATTATTTATCTGAAAGCCTATAAAGTAAATTTTAGGTATTAAAGAGCTTCACTGAAACTAGAGAGTATCTTTTAAAAAGTCCCTAAATTTTGTGATTTGTTCCAGTTTTTTCTAACTTATAAGCACATCTGATATATATTAAATATATATATAATGTATAACATTTAAAATACTATATAAACTTTTGTAGGGCATTATATAACATTAAGAGTGGTTTTCTTAAAGTGGTTTACAATACATTATGGTTATTTCCCTGATATAATCTAGTCCAAGTATCCCTGACAATTCTCCCACCAGCCCTATTATGCTAAGCAAAAACATTCTGGCAACTCTACAACTCCACTGAAATTAGAGCATTTAAAATCTTCAAAAAACGTGAGTAAAAAGTTGCTTGCACACCTCAAATCTCAGTCTTCTGAACATTTCTCTTTACAACTCAATTCCTCAAACAGTAAAATAATTAAAAAATATTTTAAATTGACAACACAATTTTTTCTTGTCCCCAAAGTAGTACATAATGTAGCAAAAAATGCTTTTCAGTTACTTTTCAATATTAAGTACGCAAAGGAATTTAGATCTTTCTGACCATAAGAATTCTCTAAGTCTTTCTGGTCAACAAAATACATAACACTCAAAAGTTCTAGAGGGAAAAAAAAAAAAAAAAACCTCTTAATTATATAAGCCCCTCAAAATTGAAGGGATAAACATCTGACCATTTTTCTGACCCAAATATTCTCATTAACCTTCAATGATAAAACACTCTAAGGGCTTTTCCTTATACTGCTATGTTGTATTATCTTCGAAACTTCCAAAAATCAGTGGCCCCAGAAAACAAGCTAATTTGTATAAAGTCACAATATTTACAAAGAAAGGATGCTGACATAGTATATAAAAGACTACCAGAACTGATGGAGGATTTGCCACCACGTGGTCCACCACGACCTCGACCCCCTGAGACACTCCGGCCTCTTCCTCCTGGGCGTCTCCTACTGTCACGTTGATGTCGGCTCTCTCGATCGTCTTCTCCTGCCAATGACCAATCACTCAGCTCATCCTTACGCTCAGATTCTGTTTCAGAGGGGTTAGACAGCTCAGAGTTTGTACCTTCGGAAAGAAGAAAACATAAGCCAATTTTTTTATAGGAATGAAAGAAAAATTTAAAAATTCCTGCAAATCATTGTTTAAATAACTGCTATTTGGCTATTTAGCGTTTAAAAACACTAAATCAAACACTGATTTCAAAATTCCTTAACTAATAAATAAATGTTAATATTATACTAATAATATCTACTCTTCAGAAGTTAAAACCTGAATAGTTTTGCAGCCAATAGAATATTACAGAAAACATATAAAACATTACATTCACAAATATAAAAATGCACTAAGTGGGAAAATAATTTTAAAATTTTGCCCATTTTTAGGTTTAATATCAAATTAGTAAATATAACTGCTGCTACCCAATATTTAAAAGCAATTCAATTATATTTAGAAAAGTAGTTATATAGTGCATTTTGCCATTTTTTTTTTACATTTTAATATCTCTGAAATTAGGATGTTTCTGATAACTAATGGTCTTTTTTTAAACTGGGCGTGTATTTTTAGTGACTGTATATAAAATAGCTGTTTTATGAACAAGTGTCTTAAATTAGAATACAGTATTTAAAATTACTGAACAAATTTTAAGAGGATTATTCTGAGCAAAGACTTCAAACCAACAACAGAATTAAAGACATGATCCATGAGATAAAAATTCAACCTGACTTTAAAAGTTTAGACCATTTCTTTCAAATGACCTATTTTAATGATGCTTTAAAAATTTAAATACTGCAAATACTCTATAGAAGCCTTACAATATCACCATTATATTAGATTTATGTAACCCAATCACTATCACACTCATTTCTACTTCTATTCTTAGGTAGTTCTGGGATGTCTCTTCTACCTTTTCCTATTATCATATAACCAAACATTTTTTTCAAAGCCCAGTTCAATTTCTAGGTTGAGACCACTGTGAATGCAAACAGAACTCTCCTCTCCTATTTTTCTTAGAAGAATGTACACCCGTCATGCAGTGTTGCTGAATGTTGTTTTCTATTTTTAACCCCTTTTGGATCTACTTCTCACTTGGGCTATGATAAATGTAAAGGGTGCAGAGCTCTGTCTCATACCTTTAACGGCTCCCAGATGCCTACCAATGAACATAATCATTTTGTTGTTGAGTAAATTTGCTGCATGATTTTAAAGTTCCTTTGCTAAAACTCCCAAATAAACTAAATATTAAATTTAGTTTCCATGCTAAACTAAAAATTCCCTACATTTAAATGCCATTTGATGATAAAAGCAAATGTCATTTGATGATAAAAGCAAAACACAAGAGCTCTTCAGATACAAAAGTTAGAAGGAACTTTTATAGTATAGGAATTTAGTATAGGAAATAAAATATGAAGTTTAACAAATGAAGGAGCCTACCAACTTCCTTTCTCCTTGAATCTCCCAAATACTTATCATTTCATGAATAGTGAAGAAAACATTTGGAATGTATTAGAACTTCTGAACTTACACATTTTTTAAAAAAGCTTTAAAATTCATAAAACTGATTCAATTTTTAATGACTCTTAACAAATTAAAAGATCTGTTTTTAACACAATTTTAAATCAAATTTTTCCCCTTTCTAAATCTTCTAAAATCAGCCCTAAAGATGATTCACATCCTTTTCAATGATTGGTATACTAAACTTAATAGTTGAAGTGTATTTTATCAAATCCACATGGCACTCATTCATCCTAAGACATACTTTTGTGTGTCATTCAACAAATATTGCCAATAAAAGTTGTAAGTCATCATCCATTATAAAACACATACCAACTTCAGGGATGTTATAGAGAAAATGTTTCTTATACAGTTTATATGTATTACCTCCTTAATAAAATCCTTCTGATATCAAGTGAACAAGATCTATAACCAAATTCAAATGATTTTATTTCTCTCAAGCCCATTTAAGTTCCATGGTTATTTTAAAAAAGACAATGTTATTCAGAGGTAAGAGTGCCATCTACTGAACAATTGGCAGAGCTTTCTTCAGTCCCAATGATATTCCTCTACCTTTCTCAGGTAAATTTATTATTTACTCTCAACAAAAGCCTTTTGCAAAAAAAATGATCTCTCTTCTATAATTTCACTTGATTTCCCACAGAGGCTTATAATCCTCATCATCCAAAAAGTCATGTGATTTATTAATAGTAGTAATTTGTACACTTCTGAAATCATTCAGTATATACTTAATTTCTATTTAATTTCTGCTTTTCTTTTGTATTAAATGTTTTCAGGAATATAATTGTTCACAATTCTCAGCCCTTCACGTGCTAAACAGTTATTGGAATTTGTTTTTCATATTTCAATATAGGGTTAACTAAAAATTAAAAGAAATGAGGATATGAAAGGGAAGGGAAAATTAATCTTTCAACTCTACAATAAAAAATAGTACAAATTTAACATAACTGGTAACATGACATGAAATTTGGATGTGTAATCTGCACACTGTAAGCTTTTATATATTCTTACTTTCCCTAAATGCCTTTTACTTTAGGGGTAAAAGCAGTTAAAATTAGCATAGAGGAGTAGAGAAAAAGAAAAGAGAAAGGAAAGAATGAAGGAAAAAAATAACCAGGTCACTGCTAAGATCCAAGTCCAAACGTAGAAAATTGGAAAACTCCACAAAGCTGACGAAGAATAAGTGAGAATTTAGGATTAGATATTACTGACCACCACAATCCATTGGCCCCTTGCTATATGGGTTATGCCCTATCCTCAATAAAATAAATACATTTTACAAAAATGTTAATTAGGTTCTAATTTTTAAAGCCCTCACTTCAGTGAAATGCTGTATTTCATAAAATAGTTCCAGAGATATTAATATTCAGAACTGCTGAATGAGCCAATAAAATATATTTTAAAAGCTAGTATATATTTGTTATATGCAATCTTGGCACAGTGTTTAGCATATTTCTCCTTTCCCCAGAGAGTAAGCAAAAATGATTCCTAGTAGTATAACCAGCATTATTAGGCTTTTATTGGAAAATGCATATAACTGTATAGGGGAAATTTTTGGAAAACAAGTTTCATATCTACTTAATAATAAATATGATCATGATCTATCAACTTAACAAAAACATGTTTTATTTGATTACGCAGCTGTAATTGCATGCCTTTTATTGTCATTAATATAAAGTGTACCATCACTATTACTAAGATGTATACTTCAGAACTATCTACTGTCCTCAAAGGCAAAATAAGGTAAAGAACTAACTAAATAATATTAAGCAAAATGTATTGGAGCATCTAAACTAGAACTAGTTAAAAAAGAAAAAAAAAGTATTTTTTTACCATAACCGGAGGTGTAATTAGGGCCCCGACGACCTCTGCCTCTTCCACTATAAGACCTAGAACCTTGTACAGAAGAGATGGTACTTTCATCAGTGGCATATCCTTTCTCTTTTTCAGGCCCTCTGGTGGAAGAAGGTCTGAAACCCATACCAATCTGTCGTAGCTGTTCATCAATCTGTAGGCGTTCCATTCTTAGTTGTTCTACTTCCTATAATAAAACAATAAAGGGTAAATCTTTTAATGGTAACTTTTTGTCTTCTTCAAGTATAAAGCTAGAGCTATACTCCCTATCAATGAAAGAAGCATCATGGGCCTTTGGTCAAGTATAGTTGTGTTCCTAGTGAACACAACCTGCAAGGTCATTTGCTGTTTCAATTCACCAAACATTTACTGATGCCCAATATGTGTGCAAGTCATGCTAAGTGCTACAGGCATGCAATCTAAAAAAAGACCAGGACTTTCCTCTTTCAAGGTGATGTTTAAGCATTAAAATAATCCTTTTATTAAACAGCTAATAATTAAACAATGTTACCAGAATTAGCTCTGAATGAGTTAAAACTCTGCTAAATGAGGTTCAGGTAGCATCAATGAAAGGTACCATTAACCTACTTTCCTATCAAAATAATGACACCTGAGTTGTGACCTAGATGAACTAGTAGGCTTGGTAATTCAGAAATTGAGGTCATTACAGGATATGAAGGTATGGTATCTAAACAAAGCTCTTGGCTTTATAAAAGTTAGTAGAATACTAAAAGGTAAAACAGGGGGGCTTAGAATGCCAGATTGAATTGAGACTTATATAAAGATAAGCTTTTAAAAGAATGGAATGAGGTTATCATTTCAAAATACTAAAACAGCAGCAACGATATGACTAAAAGAAAAAACATACTAACTAGACAGAGCAGTTGAGGATATTACTATATTCTAAAATACTATACTCATAGCAGGAATAAAGGAGGAATAGTAAAATAATAAATATAACTTTTAATAATTTATGTGGCATTTCTTTTCTAAAGTCCTTGCTCTATTCATGAACTCAAACAGACTACATTATAAACAATGGTTAAGAATTATCAAATGGCATCTGATTCAGATAATACTAGTTACAAAGAAGCCTATCTTCACTGCTGATTCTGTATTGTTTGCATTTAAAAGATCAAGTAAAAACAATATAGTTCCAGTACAGAATGTGTAGGTACATTAAGTGGTAACAGTAAGAAAAGCAATGTAAAAGTTCAGAGAGAAAGAGAAACAATATGCATGAGGCAAATCATTTTATTATGGCAAAATATGTTTCATTTATAAATTCTCATAAAAACAAGACATAACTGAACCTATATTAAAAATACATAAATATCTAAAATTTACTACAAACATCAAATTAATTAAACTTAATGTGGAGAGCAACAATGATATAAATGTGAATAGTATACAAACCTTTAGATAAGCAATATGATACTCTAAAAGAACTTGCACATTTCCGATGCTTTCTTTTGTGCCAACAAATACAAATGGAACCATCCCCTGTAAGAAAACAACGTCCTCAAGCATTTAATATTTTAACAAAAGTCTAACCTAAATTTGACATACCAATATATAAATTTTGAAAACTTTCCTAAAACATATAGTAATTTATATCTATTAAACATCAAGATTTAAAAATACACCGCTAAAAGTATCAATGTTATTTGAAATACTGAGATTTTCAAAAACTTGTTATACTTGCACAACTTAGCATTTAAAAAATTAGTTTTTAAATATCAAGGTTTTTTGATCCATCCCCATCCCGTTTATTTATTAATAATAGCCATTCTGCTAGGTGAGAGATGCTATCTCATTGTGGTTTTAATTTTGCATTACTCTGGTAATTAGTGATACTGAGCATCTTCAGATAACAAAATCTTCGAAGTCTGTGTTAGAGGATATGCTTCCCAACTGTTACTATAAGTATCACCAACAGAAGATAAATATTTACACAAAGTAAAATAAGGAATTATTGGTAAAGGCTTATACTTTGTTACAGGTTTAAAAGCAAGTCAAAAGATTAACATAGACCTGGTTTACCTTGATGAATTTTAAAGGAGGAAGGTTTTTAAAAAGTAGAAGAGAATTAAGATAACTGATAATTTTTTTTCTTTAAAGAAATACACTTCTAGCCCTCGCTGGTTTGGCTTAGTGGATGGAGCATCGGCCTGCAGAATGAAGGGTCCCAGGTTCAATTCCAGTCACAGGCACTTGCCTGGGTTGCAGTCTCAATCCCCAGTAGGGGGCATGCAGGAAGCATCTGATCAATAATTCTCTCTCATCACTGATGTCTCTCTCTCCCTCTCCTTTCCTCTCTGAAATCAATAAAAATATATTTTTTTAAAAAGAAATGCACTTCTAGTATACTATTGAGTAAGGAGAATGAGTATAGCCTAAATAAAGTGATCCAATGGGTTTCAGTGTCTCCTCCCATTTTCTTGATTTTATAGAATAGTTCCTTATGGAACTAAGTGTATCTTAAGAACTTTTGATTCTGTATAAGATTACACTAATCAAAATGACAACAATTTAAGTGGTGATTTATTTATTTATTTTTAACCCTCACCCAAGAAAGGACATTTTCCCCATTGATTTCTAGGAAGAGTGGAAGGGATGGAGGAGAGGGAGAGAGATGGGAGGGAGGGAAGAGGAAGAGAGAGAAACATCCATTTCAGAGGGGCACATGGATTGGTTGCCTCCCACACAAATCCCTACTGGGGAACTCTCAATCTTCCTTTAATAACAACATTGATTTTTACAAGGAGGAAGGGAGAGAGATAGAAACATTGATGAGAAAGATTGATCAGCTGGCCTCCTGCACAACTGCACTGAGGTTCAAACCAGCAACCAAGGAACATGCCGTGACCAGAATCGAACCCAGGACCATTCAGTTGATGGGCAAACACTCTATCCACTGAGCAAATCTGGCAAAACTGGTTAGGCAGAAACTCTTAATCTTAAAAAAAAAACAAAAAAAAAACTTAATGAACTGATTTAAAATATCAAGTGCCTAATCTATAAAATTCATTGTGATGGGAGAAAATTGACAAAAAAAAAAAAAAAGAAAGAAAAGAAAGAAAGAAAGAAAAAGAAAAAGAAAAAAAAAAGAGAGGGAGAGAATTCAGATTTGATTTCTTGACTTCAAGGAGTTTATTACCTGGCTTAAAGATATAAGATAAACCAGAAAATATAGAAGAAAATCATTACATACCCTAGTGTACCAACAATAATTACTACGAAAACAAAGGTCATCTCAGACCAGAGATGAGTCACCAAAGACTTTGGAGAAAGCAAGTTATAAACACTCTCCAAGGGATTTAGATGGCTTGCACTGTGGAATGGTGGCCCAAAATCAACTATAACCAACCTTCAGATTCGCTTTAACATGAAATGTTTAGGAAATTAAAAAAATTCTTTATAGTATTATAGGTTTTCAGCTTCTCTTAAAAAATATCAGAAGCTCTAGCAACACAATGCAGCATTCCCACACGTCAATCAAATTAAAACTGAGCAGCATGTTTCTTTTACAGAAAGTTATTTGGTGCCCTCCCATCCATATCTTATAAATCAACCCACTTAATCATTTAAATGATTTTCTTGGTTTCTGTAAGCATTTAAATTTAACCTATCACAGAAATGGAACAATTGACCAATACTACAAACTGAAAAGTATTGAAGGAGAACCTAGAATTTTATATTTGAAGAACTTATAACAAGATGGTAAATATTAAAAAGCAATTGGGATAAATCAAGTTAAGGGAAGATGAGATATTAGTATCAAGCCAAGAAATTTATACTTGAGTTGCTTAATAGCCTTTGCCAGTAAACATTTTGATCTTCTGACTAATTTTAAAGAGTGGTCAAATACCAATAGATCTCCATTATCTTATATATTAAGCATAAAGAAGGAAAATGCCCACAATAGTATGACACTTAATTTTATTCCTTATGTCAAAGGCATCTTAAAGTCATGAAAAAATGGTGGGAAGGGAAAGAGGGTTTGCTTAAGAGAAAGTTATTTGTGATTTATAGCAATTTTCAAAATAGTGAAATTGAAATCAATCTGAGCTACAAGTACTCATATGTATAACTAGAGGCTCAATGCACAAAATTTGTGCATGGATAGGGTCTGTAAGCCTGGCTAGCGATCAGGTTCTCTACCTCTTCCTTTGCTCACTACCTGTGTACCACTGCACAGTTACCCCCTCCCTGCCTCCTCCTTCCCATCCCACCAGCATGCCGCCACCAGTTCCCCTCTGCCTCCCCACCTCCTCCTTCCTTCACCACCCATGTGCCACCACTGCATGGCTCCCCCTCCCCTTCTTTCCTCTCTCCCTCACTGCCCTACCACCACTCCTGGTCGCCCGCCATGTTCCATGCCACCCCATCACAGTGAGTGATTGAACTCCTGTTCTCCCAAATTCCTGAGGGCACTTTGCATATTATATTATATATATAGTCATTTGTTTTCTCTCATTCATTTTCTTCCACATTCTAACTAATTAAAATGAATAAGCCTTGGCTTATTCTAAACCGGAGAGGTCAGAAATGGAGGAAAGCAAACTACTGGATATAGAGTTCAAAACCACGGTTATAAGGTTACTGAAGAATCTTGTAGAAACATCTGAGAAATTTAGTGAGACCCTCAAAGATATGAAAAAGAACTAATTAGAAATTAAGCATACACTGAGTGAAATAAAGAATAATATATAGAGATCCAACAGCAGACTAGAGGATCCCACGAATCAAACCAAAGATTTGAAATACGATGAAGCAAAAAAAAAAACCCAACCGGAAAAAAGAGTAAAAAAAATATGAAGATAGTACAAGGAGCCTCTGGGATAACTTCAACCTTACCAACATCCAAATTATGGGGGTGCCAGAAGAAGAGAACAAGGTATTAAAAACCTATTTGAAGAAATAATGACAGAAAACTTCCCCTACCTGGTGAAAGAAATAGATTTACAAATCCAGGAAGACCAGAGAACCCAAACAAGAGGAATCCAAAGAGAACCACACCAAGACACATCATAATTAAAATGCCAAGGGGAAAAGACAGAGAATACTAAAAGCAGCAAGAGAAAAAGTTACCTACAAGTGAGTACCCATACGATGTCAGCTGATTAGTCAACAGAAACTATGCAGGCTGAAGGGAGGAGCAAGAAATATTCAAAGTAATGAATAGCAAGAATTTACAACCAAGACTACTTTACCCAGCAAAGCTACCATTTAGAACTGAAGGTCAGATAAAGACATTCACAGATAAGAAAAAGCTAAAGGAGTTCATCACCACCAAAACAGTATTATATGAAATGCTTAAAGGTATACTTTAAGAGGAGGAGGAGGAGGAGGAAGAAAAAGATAAAAATTATGGGAAAAAAAGTGACAACAAATACATATCAACAAGTGAATCTAAAAATTAAGTGAATAAAAAATCTGATGAACAAAATAAACTGGTGAATATAATAGGATCAGGAACATAGAAAATGAGTGGACTGACAATTCTCTGGAGAAAAGGGGTGCAGGAAAAGATTGGACAAAAAAATTATACCTATGGACAAGGACAGTGGGGTGGGGGAAGTTTAAAGGTTATGGGGTGGGGTGGGAACCGGGTGGAGGGGAGCTATGGGGGGGGAAAAGAGGAACTGTAATAATTTGAAAAAGAAAGATTTATTTTTAAAAAAGTGAAAAAAGAAAAAATGAATAAAGGAAGTGACCATCTCTGATAGGCATTGTTAATCCAACATCCTTAATGCGAAGCTATTTACTTAAGCTAAATATCTACAGCTTTTTGTTTTAGGAGACTAATTCTATCCAATAGGCTAACAAACTCTCCAACAGTTATCTATTGTGCAAAACTGAAGAAGTTATGTATGAGTGTATTGCTGGAAGATAAGTAGGAAAGTCCTTGCCTTATATTCAAACATACAAAGTTTAAGCCAACTATACATACAGTATTGACTGAAGCCACAAAATAAGGAGATCCTAAAAGTGATATATGAAAACAAGAACCGCATTGGTAGATAAAATATCAATATGTGAGAAGTAGGACTGAAAAGAAATTCCAGAAAGTTCATATCAAAATAGTAACAGAAAACCTTCAAGATTTCAATTAAGAGTTAGTGCTTTCAGATTCTATAAAAATGCTAGGGAGAGTGCTGTCAAGAATTCCTTCATAAAAGACTATTGTTTGTTTAGTATCAAATTGAACAGCTTTACATTCTAAGTACAAAAAGGGACTATTAAAATGACCAAATTGAAGACTTTTATTAAAAAACTAGTACCCCATCACACAGTATGACACGCAGTAGGCCGCTTCCATGGGAGCCGGCGGAAACTGCAGTGTGCCACTAAGAGCCGAGCCGCTTCCGCAGGAGGCGGGCCTGCCTGCGGAGGCTGCGGGCCAGGGACCCTGTCCCCCAGGGGCCCTCCATGGCTGGGGCATCGCCGAAGCAAATGTCCCTCCCCGGCCACTCTGTGCCACTCATGCTACCCCCTCTCAGACAGTCCCCCCAGGACTGGGGAACTCCAGCAAGGCTGAGGGGTTTGGGCGCTGTTATCTTGTGGCTATGAGTGCCACCATCTTTGTGACAGTTAATTTGAATATTATCCTTTTATTAGATAGGATTGGAGTTTTACTCAAGTACTGTGAAACCAACCAAGGAACCCACGGCCCATGATAAAAGTAGACTTCTAAGTATGCAAAAGAAGTATTATAGGGAACAGAACTTTCTTAACCTGTTAACCGAGCGGGACGTATAAATACATCAAACGTAAACAATATTGGGAACGGGTAGGACGTATGAATACGTCCTGGAAATATATGTTGCGCCCTGAGAGGGACGGTATATATTTTTTGTAATCTTTATAATTGTTTGTAAAATTTATAATTTTTTAATTCGATGTTTCCATTTTTTTGTTGGTATTCTTTTTATATTTTTGTAATTTTGTATTTTCCTTTATGCTTTATATATAAATAAACAAAATATATATATATCATTTATTTTAAGTATAAATAAAAAAAATATGAAATTACGTCCTCCAGACGTGACATACTGACACGTCCTAGTGAAAGAATACGTGCCCATTATAGGTTGTGTAATTAAAAAGGGAACTCCCCGGTTAACAGGTTAAAAAAGAAAAGTCCATTGCACTAGAGTGTAAGTAGCTCACTAGATATAATTTCATAAAACAATTTCCAAAATACAAAATATTAAGTCAGCTAAGAATATGAAAAAATAAACAAAACACACACACACACACATGCAAAGCAGGCCAAATAAATTACATTTTCAAACACTCACATCTTCTCTAGGTAGTTTATTTTCATTGTCTCCTTCAATTCTCACCCGAACCACACCAGATTTGTCCACTATTTCTTGAATAACTTTGCCATTTTTCCCAATTACTTTTCCTTTAATAAGAGAAAACAAATATAATGGTAAGTTAAAAACCAATACTGCTATCCTTTCCAAATAATTTATAACTTGCTATCAAATTAAAAACAAACAAGCAATGTTCTATCTTTGTAGTCTCATTAACTCACCGCCTAAAGACTAATGAGAAGTTTTACTGTTGGTCTGAAATTCCCTTCTCTCCAGCAGGCTATCAGTAACTGGGTTGACAGCGCTGCTCACATGGAAAACATTCTCAAAGTCTAAATAAACTTTTAAGACGTTCTACATCATTTTTATATTGTTAAAATATCAAGGCCAACCCATTTCTTGTATACAGAGGCAAAAAAAAAACCCTTTTCTTAGCATTAATCAGATCTATTTATGTTCATTGTATACCATATATAATTATTCAAAGAATTAAGAAATTCAATCTTGATTTTATTTTCAAGTTTCTATTTTTTAAAAAGATACCTGTGACTTGAAGACATACCTTTTAAAATATTCCCTTTGTAAAAATTAAATGTTAACATTTAACAAGTATAACATTTTACACCAGTAAGTTTTTAAAAGTACTCCATAGCTTTAAAAATACATACAACATATGTATGGTATGCTGTCTTCCTAAATATGAAATACTATAAATTACATAATATCCAAATTATTTACCTTCTCTACTCTTGACCTCTAAGTCTGTCAAACAGCAGTACCCAATAATTATAGTACCCAATAATTAAAGGACAACCTAAAAAAAGAAGCATGAAGATTTCTCTTCCTCTTAGAAACTTATTAGTTACAACATACATTCACATAAATTAACACACCAATACTGCATACTGTTACCTAGGAACAGTGTATTTAGGTAACCTTCTCTATATGAAATGATGTATATATTATAAAATTCACAGCAACATCATATTTGTTATTAAGTCAGTCCATGTTATTTAAGTCCAAATCCCAAATTTTTAAATTGATAACTCAGCAATCTATTTCCACAATTAAATTTGGTTGAAAGGGGTGAAAATAAAAATTTTCCTACTGTATGCTTGATAGTACAGTTTTCATTGAAGAATAAGGGAACAATGTTAACAGTAAGCCAGTCAATACAGCAAAGCCACTATTATAGGATTTTCTGTCCCTATTCTCAAGCCTCCTTCCCCATTAATAACCCTAAATTTAAAAGCAACAGTGATTAAACAGGTAAAAAAAAAAAAATAAGAGGTCAGGGAAGTCACATGTCTTCTCTTAGCTCTAGCAGCAGCATATAAAAGCAACCTTCATTTTTGCACAGTGAAGCTCAAGCAGCAACTCCATCCTTGACCCTGCTAAAAATAAGCAAATATCTTTTCGAAATAACAAAAGTCAGGATGATATATCATAACCCTCCCACTCCAATCTTAGTGCCCCTTTCTTCTTGTGAACTATATCAGTGGTGAGTGAACATCCATCACCCTTCTGGGGTCCATGGTAAGGACCTACCTGCAAGTTTCATTTAGTCCCATCAGAGACAGTCAAAATTTTAACTGATCATTTCCAGAGTTTAAATTCCAAAGCATACTGATAAACTGAAGCAGACATGTAGTATAAATTGAGTACTGAGCAAAAAAGATGACGGGACAGAGTAGAGAAGTGATTAAGGAAGGCTTCTAGGAGGATAAAGATTTTGATGTTTTCAAATCGATGTTCACATAGTATTTTTTCTTTTGATTTGGAAGGGATGGGAATGGTCAAGTTCTAGAACTCTTGGGAACCTGGATGTGTAAAGGAATCCTCTCTGGAACTTACCCACCAAGTAGTCCTCATTCCCTTTTACTCCTCAGTCCTCTTTTCCTCTTTCACTTGGACTAAGAATGTATTACTTTTCAAAAGTCTGCTTCACCCATAAAACATTTTGGAGGAAAATGTAGTATTATTATACACAATAACCAATTGAAATCTTTATACTTCTTCTGAAAATTTCACCAACGTACAATAGTTGTTCTAAGGTATATTTCCTAAAGAGTACACAAATAACCCAAATCAAAGCCAACCAAGACAGGTAGAGGAAAAAGAGACATGACAGGCACAGACATTGTTGCACAAAATAAAGAATCAGAAAGCTACAAATATATCCAATTTCCTCACTTCCAAAATATCTGGACTTTTTACTCAAAATTAACACTACCACGAACTCTTTAAGATCAAGGCTATTATAGAATTGTTGAATTGGAAAAGAACCCCGATTCTCTCTCTAGTACATACCTCAAATCATTTTTTACAACTGAAGAAACCTAAGTTAAATTACACTCTGTAAAGCAGCAAACCAATGTTAGTACTGATAGACGTCAATAACTGAGTAGAATTTAAACAAAATGGGGATCATTTTCAAAAGCAGCTTTCTTGTCTACAGTGATTTCATTTGACAATAAACACTTTGTATCACAATGTTTATTAAAATTATTCAACAGAGGACAGTAATTTCCAAGAACAGATAAAATAGAGCTTGCTTAATTGGCAGCATGTCATAACTACCCAAATGTTTAGGCAAAATTGATAAGCTTTTTATATAATAGCCGAGTATCAAAATCCAAATTCTTTTGTTGTATGTAGACTCTTATACCAGAGTATTCTAGTTATCATAGGCCAGAAAAGCATTTTTATGTAGTGGGAGGTTTTTTTTTTAATAATTTTTCTCCCAGTGTTTGTTTTATAGAATTTGACAAATAAAACACTGATAGCAAAAAAAAGACAAACAAACAAAAAACACCAAAAAAATGTTTAAAGGTTAAATAGGCCTAATTATAAAATGGAACCTAAAGGGCTCTATATATTTCAACAAGGTAAAAAATCAGGTGATGAAAATTCATCTCTCCTAGTAAATTAGTAAATTTCACTACCTTATGGTAATGTTTACTTTTATATTAAACTTTTAGGATATTTATGTATTTAACATGTGACAAAAGCTTTCCAATTTGTCTCAATTAACATTTAAAAGGACAGACAGCACGGATCTACAGGGTATTAATAATAAAGCTACTCAACAACTCACTGCAAGTTATAATGCTCACTTAACTCCAGCTTCAAAATTTGTCACAACTTATAACCATGGGCACAATAGTTTTCATTAATGGCATCAAACACTTAACAGTGAAATCTATCATATCATTATCACCATCCTTCTCTCTTGCTCATATATCTTTGCAAAAACCAATCATTATCTATTTAGGGTCTACCATGTATAAGTTTTACTTTTTACTACTAAATTGTCAATTCAGTCTTTCTCTTTTGCATTAAATAAACAAAAAAATTTATCGTACATTTTCAAAAGTACTTACAATTTTGATAAACACGAATAATAAAAAGATATTAAGTGAACAAAAATAGTAAGAAAGAGGCCAAGGTTTAATTGGCTTAAGAAAAATTGTAATGGCAAAGTGTTATAAAAGCCATGGGTCTTATTAGGGGGTTACCCTGTACGGAAGAAGATATCTTTACTTTTTATCATAACAAATACAAGTCACATACAATGTTATTACTGAAATAATGAAAGTATGGTTATCAAAATACTTAACTATAAGCAAAATATCAGACAAGACTAATTTTCAATTAGTTCACTATAATTAAATACCATTTAACTTGTTTAACATGTAGAAGAAATACCTACCAACAAGATTCCTAGGAACCTGAATAAAATCCTCCACAAATTCCAAGAAACCTCTAGCCTTTTTTACAGCATCAGCACTCTGGGAATGTAGGGAGAGAGAGATAAACATGAAATAAACCCGAGTCCAAAACAAAAATAAGAGAAATTAGCAAAATCCAAATTATGACATTCTAGTAACAAGCTCAGCCTACTAGAGTGACCTTTCACGTCAAATAATTCATTAAATACTTTTTTTTTTAAAGCAGTAATTAAAAGAGTAGGGGGGAAATACTATTAGGACAAAAACATGTTAGTCATCTCTAAGGTCCCTTTTAAGCTTCTGAGAAAAATAGCAAGAAATTAACTTACTTATGTTTGCAAAATTTAAACCCCAAAAATGTATTTATTTGATCCACTTTCCCATGCTGAATATCTCCAGGGGAATATTAAAAGTAAATTGTTCACTTTGTCTATAATATCTGCTTTTTTCTTTCCTTCTCAAAGTAATTTACTAAGCTGCTTTTGCAGAGATGCATTAGAAAAAAGTACCTATCAGTAACATTATTACATTCCTAATTTCTCTTGGGTATAATTTTAAAAGACTGGAGGATGGAAGAGAGGGGGGTTCCCTAGAGGAATTCACAGTTCTCAATAACAGTTAACTTCCACTTTTACTGTTTGTTCTTTAATAACCATAGATCAATTGTATTGTGTACTCATGTAATATACCACATACAATAACCATTTAAAAAATGTATTTAACCCTCATAAATTATAAAATAAGCACTATTATACTTCTCATTTACAATGAAGAAAATTATACATGGAGATTAAGTAACCTTCTCCAAGCCCACTCAAAGGGGTAAACATAGAATTTTTATTCAGCCACTATGACTCCAAAGCCTTTCTTCTTAATTACTCTGTTATAATGCCCATGTCTAAAGGCTTCAGGAATAAAAATCAAGTCTCTAGTCAGATCTATGAAAAACTATTATAAGACTTGATGCAGGCACATCCCCAGTGGGGGGTGTGCAGGAAGCAGCTGGTTGATGTTTCTCTCTCAGCGACGTTTCTAGCTCTCTATCTCTCTCCCTTCCTCTCTGTAAAATATCAATAAAATATATTTTAAAAAATCAATAAAATATATTAAAAAAAGAAAAACTAAGACTTGAAATTATCACCCCCAAAAATATCTTATCCATATATTTTAATGTGAAACATGGTCTCAATAGCTTGTATTTATTTCTCAGATTATTTTCCTATCCACACAAATTTCATTTTTAGTTACAAAATATTACCTAAATTCAAGTTCTACCAAAGCTGTTTTATGATGTTATTTATAACTGCCAGTGCCCCATACATAGTAAGCATGCAAGAAATATTTGAATAAATTATTTGTAATGCACAGAAAACTGAGTTAAACCCAGAAGCAGCTGGTTAAGAAACTTCTGAAAATAGTACATATTACTCAAAAATCTTTCATTGCTCCATACAATGCAATGTCACCTTCAATCCACACACATATGTATGATTATTAAGCTGACTGATTTCAAAGTGTTTTCACTGGGAAGCTGAAATTCCAAATAAATGTGATCAATGTTTTAGCAAAGTTATCTTAGGTAAGGGACAGAAAACAGCTTACCTCTCCATAGATTCTAAATGTTCCAGTATCTTCATCTAGTTCAATAGCTGTAACTCCAGGAACCTTCCTAGCTTGCTGTATGTTACTACCATGCGTTCCTATTGCCAGGCCCATCAAATCCTCTCTCACAACGAATTCCTCATGAAAAGCTGCTGCAAGTTGTTTTGTGCACTAGTAAAAAAATTAGAATTTTTTGTAAAAGATAAAAAATACAAATGGTTTTCTGTAAAACCACGTTCACAGCATTATTTACAAGACTTGAACTGGAAACAAACTAAATATGCAGATTAATAGATGGATGAATAAAATGTGACATATTCATACAATGCAAATTATTCAGTCTTAAAAAGAGAATCCTGGCATGCTACAATGTGGATAAATATCAAAGGCATTGTGCTTAGTGAAATAAGTCACAAAAAGACTAATGCTGTATGATTCCATTTGTGTGTGTCAAACATATAGAAACAGAAAGCAAAATGGAGATTGCAAGGGGCTGAAGGGGAAAGGGAAGTTGTTTAATGGATATAGAGTTTCAGTTTTGTATGATGGATTGATCAACAATCTGAATATACCTAATACCTCTGAACTGCACTTAAAATAGTTAAGATGGTAAATTTTATGATATGCCAATTTTACAATTTGAATAAAAATAAAAAGAACAAAAAAAGGAATAAAGGAAACTCACTTGGGTAATATAATGGAAGGGGAAAAAATGGTTTGATGAGTCTATTTAGTCATGGCCACAGAAAAGAGAAATTCTAAAACAATTTTCCAGAATAATTGATAAAAGCAGTTCTCCAATTCAGCATCTACAGGAATTGCTGCAAATTTATTTCTCGGTGGAAGAACCTTTCATTCTCAATAAAAATTACCATTTCCATTAAATGAAACTTCAATTTCTAGATTCGATATAAACAGTGAAGTTGCTAAAACTACTAAAAAGGCCCAACTTCTCATTATTGATGAATGCACCATGGCATCCAGTCATGCTATTAACGCCATAAACATATTACTGAGAGAAATTATGAATACGAATGTTGTATTTGATGGGAAAGTTCTCCTTCTTGGAGGGGATTTTCAACGATGTCTCAGTATTATACAGCATGCTATGCAATTGGCCATAGTACAAACAAGTTTAAAGTACTGTACTGTTTGGGGATGTTTCAGAAAGTTGTCTCTTACAACAAATATGAGATCAGAGGATTCTGCTTATAGTGAATGGTTACTAAAACTTGGAGATGGCAAATCTGGTAGCAGTTTTCATTTAGGAATGAATATTATTGAAATCCCCTGTGAAATAATTTGTAATGGACCTATTAGTGAAGCTACCTTTGGAAATAGTATATCTATAGATAATGTTAAAAATCTAACATACAATTATTGTCCAAAAATGAGCACGTTCAAAAATTAAATGAAGTAATTTTGGATATACTCAATGGAGGTTTTCACACATATATGAGTGATGATTACATTGACTTAACAGATGATGCTGAAAAGGAAAGTTTTGCCATCGAATTTATTAATAGTATTACCCCTTTGGGAATGCTATATCATAAATTAAAAAATTGAAAGTGGGTGCAATCATCATGCTAATAGTAAATGGAGTCTTTGTAATGGTACCAGGTTTATTATAAAAAAATTACGACCTAACATTATTGAAGGTGAAGTATTAACAGGATCTGCAGAGGGAGAGGTTGTTCTGATTCCAAGAATTGATTTGTCCCCATCTGACACTGGTCTCCCATTTAAATTGATTCAACAACAGTTTCCCATGATGCCAGCATTTGCAATGACTATTAATAAATCAAAGGACAAACTCTAGAATGAGTAGGAATATTCCTACCTGAACCCGTTTTTGCACATGGTCAGTTGTGTTGCTTTCTCTCAAGTTCGAAGAGCATGTGACGTTAAAGTTCTAAATACTTCATATCACAAGGGAAATTAGTCAAGCACTCTGAAAGTGTTTTCACTCAATGTGGTGTACAGGGAGACATTAGAATAAGTTCAATCACTTTATTGCCATTGTGTGCATCACTGTTGTTTTCATATCATGTTTTTGTTGTTTTTATATCGTGCCCCTGTTGTTATATCTATTTGGTACTGTTTATTAATAAATTTATATATTATTTTCATATACATTTTACTAATTTCCTTTCATCTCTCACACTTCTATTATAGAGAAAGGGCAAATAGCAATATTAAGATATTTCCTCTAATTAATCCCCTTTTAATGTGCACGAATTTCATGCACCAGGCCACTAGTATAATAAAATGCTAATATGCAAACTAACTGAATGAGGGAACAACAGGTTGCTATGATGTGCACTGACCACAAGAGGGCAGAAGCTCAACACAGGAGCTGCCCCTGGGTCATCAGTGCACGCCCATAGAGGGCATGCTGCTCAGCAAGCAGACAGGCTCCCAACTGGCTGGTGCCCCTCCCTGCTCCGTGGCAGTGCTAAGGATGTCCAACTGATGGCCCTCAGTCAGACATCCCCCCCCAGGGATCCTGGACTGCAAGAGGGCGAAGGCTGGGCTGAGGGCCTCTAGTGGTTATAATAATCTAGTTACTAATGGAAGTGTGTTGTGACTGACAGGGAAGTAAAAAAAAAATAAGAAAAAGAGTAAATAAGAATTAGCAATATATAGCTATTCCTCAAGGACACAATGACTCCAGGTATTATCCACAAAATAGGTCCCAAGTTACCTTACCTAACAGTCAAGTAAGCAATTTTGAGCCAGGGAGCTTGTATATACTAATGAAACAGGGACACACAACATACATTTTATGAGTAAATTCACTTACTTCTAAATGCTTAGTGGCCTCTTCATTTCTGGACATAAGCATCAACTTCGTACGAATACTTCGCAAATGCATGTCACTTAAAATATTTACTCTCTTCACAGTTGCTTCACTGGCAGACTATAAACAAACAAGTTAATAACTCAAAATAATCACGCTTCAAAATAATACAAATAGGACCTTCATAATAAAGCCTTCCATGATTCTCATCAACTACACTTCTCTCCTCACCTAACATTCACCCCTCTTCCCAGAGTAACATTACTTTCCTTCCTGAATTCCCATGGTACTTAATTCTGCCATTCACATTATGATGGGGGTGAGATTTTCCAAGACACCACACATTAAGAATTGTCTGATGTTAAGAATGTCACGTGAGCCGAAACCGTTTTAACTCAGTGGATAGAGCATCGGCCTGTGGACTGAAAGGTCCCAGGTTCAATTCTGGTCAAGGGCATGTACATTGGTTGTGGGCACATCCCTGATGAGGGGTGTGCAGGAGGCAGCTGGTCGATGTTTCTCTCTCGTCGATGTTTCTAGTTCTCTATCCCTATCCCTTCCTCTCTGTAAAAAATAAAATATATTAAAAAAAAAAAAGTCACATGAAAACTTTCCTCCTTACTTCAAAAAGGATAAAAATTTAACATTCTATAACTACAAAAAATTTTTCTCCCACGTTGTATTAATAAATTCATTATACATGTAGTTAGCTTTCATTTATTTATTTTTTGAACATTTAATTACAAAATTCTTGCAATATCTATTAACTACCTAAACTCTGAAGTATCTTACCAGTATCATTAGCTGTGTGGTTTCTGGATGGTAAAAAATCCTGCAAGCTCCTACTGCTTTCTTAAAATCTTTATGTGCGTTTTCATTAGCACACCTATGGAGAAATTAATTCATGTGTAAGACCTAAATAACAGATTAAATTTAGAGGCAAGTATAACACAAACCCACTATCTCATTTTAACACCACCCATTAAAACTTTTATTCATTAAAAAGATGTTCTATCAGAAATTTGTGATTGGGTATTTAGGAAAAAAAGAATTTTGTAGCACTTAAATATTCCTAATTCACAAAGTAATAGTAAACAAAACTACTCACGCCTCTCTCAAATCTTCAGGAACATCCACTGTGCATTTAAAGAAGGTATTTTTTTTGACAGTTTTATTTTGATTGACAGGCCGAAGTCGTTCAAATGTGACTATTTCATTGTAAGTGGCATCACAAGCAGCATATTCAATGACATAAAACTAAAAGACATCAAAATACTTTAAAAATCCCATCTGAACAAAAATAATAAGCTTTAAATGAAGTTCTAATTACCCTGCTCAATTTAAACCGTAGACCCTCCCCCTTGTGGCACAAATACTAAGAACAACTTAGTTACATCAAATTGATTTGCCTAAAGTAGACTATAGGTTTTCATAAGCATGAACCCTGGTAGTCCTCACATGCCTAGGGTGTATCTCTGGAGAGAAGCCTTGATGTTTGCAAATTCAGAACACAAACAGAAATTAATGGTGATAAATATTTGAAATGTGTGACCAATTATTTCTAAAGTAGGCTTTTGAAAATATAACAGAGTTGGAGTAATATTTACAGGAACCAAGAGTTAACATCACTTACTTCTCCTTTCATCATTCGAACTTTAGCCAACCACCATCCACAAGGTTCTTGGTCATTTGCTCTTGAATACACCTGAAAAGGAAAAAAAACTGCCCTCAACCATTGATCCTAAAAGATTTCCAATATTTTAAATAATGACTTATTATAAATACCAAGTCCCTTTAAACTTAATCAAAAATACTATTGTATTGAAACGGGTGTACTAAACAGTTTAATAAGACTTACAGGTATTTTCGGGCGTATAAGACGACCCCCTAATTTTACAGTTAAAACCTAGATTTAGGCCTATATTCGCTGTATAAGACTACCCCCCACTTCCAAGGCAACCCCAGTTCTTTTTTTAATAGACCGCTTCTCTGACTCTGGCCAATCTGAGCAGGCTTTTTACTAGAACACAGTGTAGCTTTGGGTACAGAACATGTACACAGTGTTCTGGTAAATAGCCGAAACCGTTTGGTTCAGCAGTAGAGCGTCAGACTGCGGACTAAAGGGTCCCAGGTTCAATTCCGGTCATAGGTATGTACATTGGTTGTGGGCACATCCCCAGTAGGGGGTGTGCAAGAGGCAGCTGGTCAATGTTTCTCTCTCATCAACATTTCTAGCTCTCTATCTCTCTCCTCTCCTCTCTGTAAAAAAATCAATAAAATATATTTTTTTTTTAAAAAGACTTAATTAAATCTAAATTTTACTGCTGAAAAATAAAACAACCTTTTTGGGCAATTTAGCTCCTTGAAAATCAAATTCAAATTCATGACGGTTTACCAAATATTAAATGCTTCTTACAAGGTAGTTTACACAGTGTAAAGCCACAGTTTCTGTTACCATTATTCATCTCTGAACATTACATTTTCATGGTTCAAGTAGCAGAAGGATAAGCTAGAACTTATTGAGGTGTACTGTAAATGTTATGTCAGTATTTATAAGATGCTCAAATTAAGAATTATTTTCAAAAGTGAAAAACCATAGCCTGGCCTGTGTGGCTCAGTAGTTGAGCATCAACCCAGAAATCAAGAGGTCGTCAATTCGATTCCCAGTCAAGGCACATGCCTAGGTTGCAGACATCACTATTTCTATTTCTCTATCCATTTCTCTTCTTCTCTTAAAAAAAAAAAAAAAAAAAAAAAAAATTTAAAAAAAGGTTCTAAACTCTACTTTAAAATTCCTTCAAGGATATGACATTTAGATCCCTTGCTGAGGAACCCAGATCACGTATAATAAATGGTTAGCGGAATAAAAAAATTACACATATGAATACATCTAGCAGAGTACATAAGTATATTACACCTATCTAAAAAAGAAAAAAAAAGTGTGTATGTTCTGTATCTGTAATTATCAAGTATTTTTTAACATTAAATATTTTTAAAAGTTTCCATTAGGGATTGGCCGGGTGCAGGAATTTGTGCACGGGTGGGGTCCCTCAGCCTGGCCAGGTAGGGGGAGGGGCCACAGAAGGATGGCCTGAGGCGGGAGGTTGGCTGTAGGAGAGCACTGACCACCAGGGGCAACTCCCATGTTGAGTGCCCATCCCTTGTTGGTCAGTGTGCATCACAGCAACTGGTCCACTGGTCATTCAGTTGCTTAGGCTTTTATAGATATAGATGATACAGCAGCTTTTTATTTTATTTGTATCTTGCTAATCCTCACCCAAGGATATTTTTCCATTGATTTTTTTTTTTTTTTTTGGTGGTATGTTGTGTTTTTTTTAATTGTCTAAAGTTTTACATATGTCTCCTTTTCCCCCAATTGACCCCTCTGCCCCATCCCATTGATTTTGAGAGTGAGAGTGTGCGTGTGAGGGAGAGAGAGAAAGAGATGAAGAGGCAGAGTGCAAGGGAGAAGGCGAGGGTGAGGGAGTGAAATATTACATACATGTGAGAGAGATACATCCATTGGTTGCCTCCCACACACACCCAGGGCTCAAGGATCAAGCCTGCAACCAAGATACCTACCCTTGATCTGAATCGAAGCCGGGACCCTTCACCAAACCAGCTAGGACAATACAGCAGCTTTTTAAATGTATTTTCAATACATGGAAAACTGGGGGGCTGAGAAGAGAAGACTAAACTAAGGCTACTCCTACAGAGGTGGCCAGAGAAATCTATCAATGTTTTAACAGCCATCTGTGAGATAAATGCACACTATTGATACATAAATAGTTTTGAAAACTTGAAGTTTCTCTAAGATAATCTGAATGATTTTGGAAGCAATAGAAAAATCGAAAAATTGAACCTGTAAATTGAACCCGTAAATGAATAAGCCAAAACCTATTATCAACTTTATTGTATACATTAGAAAATACTTTAAGAAAAAAAAGAAAAGCCTTTGTACCAATTAGGCTCCAGGGGACTCAATTTTAGCTTTTGCATTTCTTTAATGAGCTAATCTAACTACTTTATGACTTTTATCCTTTCTCACTGGTCTTCCAAAAAAAATAAGAACATTTTAAAAATAGAATAAAAATTACTCTATCTTGAAATTAGTATACAAATCCTGTGGCCCCTTTTATATATCTAAGGTGGAAGCTAGTGATCATATTTTTCCTCTATCTTGAAACAATTTGCTATTTTATCATCATTCAATTATTTCCAACTATGATTTTTTAAAAATATTTTTTAAAAATGATGGTATTACTTGGAAGGATATAACAATGAAATATACCATTACTACTGTATTACCCTCTAGTTTATTGCATAATCTTTCAGGAAAATGAAGACTAGAAACACAATTCTTATAGTCTGCTTTTGGATATTACCAAGCAGTTAAGAATTCATAATTATTGCCGAAACCAGTTTGGCTCAGTGGTAGACCGTTAGTCTGCGGACTGAAAGGTCCCAGGTTCGATTCCGGTCAAGGGCATGTACATTGGTTGTGGGCACGTACATTGGTTGTGGACACATCCAAGTCAAACCCTATTATAAAATGGTTTCCAAACTCTAACACCAAATTGTGATTAAAATGAAATTCTAGGCTGTTGCTGATTTTTCATTTAAGTTAATAATTTTCAACTATGCTTTTGAAAGTCACAACCAGAGATAATAAACACTAGAGGTAGAAAATTTTTACCAGTTTTCACCAAACTATAAAGAAAATTTCTAAATAATGTTAAGTACTAAATGGATTATCCTATATAATAATCCTATATAATAAAAGGCTAATATGCAAATAGACCAAATGGTGGAACAACCAAACAATCAGTAGCTATTACATGTGCTGACCACAAGAGGGTGTGTGTGGAACATGGCGGGCAATGGCTGAGGCAGGATGGTGGAGCAGGTGAGCGGAGATACCAGACCAAGGCGATGGTTGCTGTTATAGGGTGAGCGTCTAGTGGTTACTGAAATTTCTTTGCTCCCGCGTGCCGCGGTACAGCCCAGCACTTGCACCCACTGCCAGTGCCAGTCCCGCTCACACCTGCAGCCTGTGCCAGAGCTGCCATTTGCATCCGCTGCTGGTGCAAGTGCCCCTGAGGGCTTCTCCACCTCCCCCTGCTCCTGAGAGGCAATTGGGGCGGTAGCCGCCACTTGCAACCACTGCTGGCGCCAACCCCCATTACTCCATTCTGTCAGCGGGTACGAGCTGGGCTGGTGCCTACAGCACATGGGAATGGAAGTGGAGAGAACAGCTGCCAGTAGACAAGGGACTGGAGACACAGTGGGAGGAGCCAGGGGGGGGTCACAGAGGATGGGCCAAACCCACCCTTTGCCTACCACAGCCTCGCACCCCACAGTTCCTGTCAAGGTGTAGGAATTCCTGCACAAGGCCCCTAGTTTAATCATAATGGCCCATTTTACAACTATACGAGAAACATTTAATCGTTCTCCTGTAGTCACCATTTCATCTCATTACAATCTATGGAGAAAAAAAATTAGAAAAAGCAAGCACTAATTAACCTGTAGAATATTATCTCATTATTTGTGACTGCTACTCTAATAAGTGGGTTTCATACGTCTTAAATAAACGCCATTTTCCAAGACAAAGATATAATAAAAAATATGTTCACCTCTTTTTTTAATGTTTGAGCATTTCCCAAGCACTAACACTAACAATGAACTTGGTATTATGAGACTTACTACAGACAGCTAAAATTTTCAGATTGGTCGTAAAAATCAAATAGAAAATATTTTTAAAGGTAATATGTTAACAATACACATACATTTAACTTTTGCATAAATCAAATATTAGATTAAAAAAATTTAAGAAACAAAACTTGCCAATTCTTATTTCAACCAGAAAACGTCAAAAATAAACTTTTATTATCAAATTATAAAATCCAATAAGAAAACTTTTAAATCCCATGTTAAATTATACATTAGCTTGAGATGTAAGGCTTTCTATGTAGTGTGTGTACTAATTTGCTAAACAATGCAAGTATCTATTGACTTCACTTCATGTGCAATCAATATCCCAGAATATTATGGTATTATACTAGAGGTCCAGGTACAATTAAATCATGCACGTGTAGGGTACCCTAGGCCTAACTTGCCACCCCAAGAAGAAGTCTCGCACACTGTGCGGAAGTTGCCGGAGGCCTGTGACGTTCCTCAGACACTGCCAGTTTCCCAGGACACTCTAGAAGTCGGTCCCGCATGCCGCAGCTGCTGCAGGACCCAGAGGTCCTGCCCTCTGTAGGACCCCTCAATGCACTTCCTGGTGAGTCTGATAGTTGGTTGTGATGCTGTCACAACGTCACGACCACAGGCTTTTTATGATATAGATAACCAGCTTAAGAGAATCTAAGGTACTCTTCATTTTCCCTTTACATTCAACTTTGTAAAGCTGAGTATTTTCTTAGTAACTTTTAGTAACAAAAACCATTAAGCAAATACTTATCAAAAATTTTAATTATACTTAAAAATATATGCCACCATTTGTTATATATATACATATATTTTTATTGATTTTAGAGAGGAAGGGGAGGGGGGAGAGAGATAGAAACATCAATGATGATAGAGAATTATTGATTGGCTGCCTCCTGCACATCCCCCACTGGGGATTGAGCCTGAAACCTTGGCACGTGCCCTAACCAGAAATCAAACCCTGACCTTCTGGTTCATAGGTCGATGCTCAATCACTGAGCTATGCCATCACTTTTTAAAGTTAAATAAAAGCCACTAATTATTAAGTTACAAAATAAATCTTTCAATTTGAAACCTTTCAAAACCAACTTTCTACTATAAATCATACTAGAGACCGGACGCAAGAAATTTGTGCATGGGAGCAGCAGGGGGGTGCGAGGATGTCCATCAGCCTAGCCTGCACTCTCTCGCAATTGGGGAGCCCTGTGGGGATGTCCCTCTCACTATCTCAGATCGCTGGCTCCTAATCACTCACTTTCCTGCCTGCCTGATCGCTCCTAACCACTCGTCTGCCTGCCTGTTTGCCTGATCGCACCTAACTGTTCACCTGCCCGTCTGCCTGCCTGCCTGATCACCCCTAACCACTCACATGCCTGTCTGATCACCCCTAACCACTCTGCATACCTGCCTGATGCCCCTAACTGCTCACCTGCCTGCCTGAATCACCCATAAATGCCTCTGTCTACTTGCTTGATCTCCCCTAATCACTTACCTGCTGCCTGATCACGCCTAAACCACTCTGCTTGATGCCCCTAACTGCTTGCCTGCCTGATCACCCCTAAGTGCCTCTGCCTACCTGCCTGATTGCCCCTAACCACTTGCCTGCCTGCCTGATCATCCCTAACTGACCGCCTGCCTGATTACTACAAAAAAATAAGAACAAGTCACAGAACAAAGGATCAATAGCCAATAAGCTAATTTAAAAAACAATCCATAGTCAAGGAAAGAATAAGCAGATATAAACTTTCTTCTAATGGGTTTTCAAAACTTTACAGATTAATAATAATCCAGCCAATCAATGAGGAAACAAACACCTTCAGTTGTTATGAAGTGGTAATTGAAAAAAAGTATTTTTAGAAGATAAAATGATACATTTGATACTATCAAAATTTTAAATAACATGCCTTTTGATTCAGCAACTGAACCACTTAGAATTGTATTACCAGAGATGTTTATATATAAGACCATTAACTAATTCTAGCTGTTTTGTTATAGCAGAAAATTTTGTTAACTTCAATGTCTCCTAGAACTAAGGAATATTATGGAATGCTTAGAAAAAGTAACGTAATTTGTATGCTAAGACATGAAAATGTTTACAGTATCCTAATTAACTGAAAACAAAAGTCAAAGATATATAATTTTTGTAATGAACACACATATTCTTTATAAATGTAAAAAAAAAAAAATCTGAAGAGGCACTCAACTCTGGTGAGATTAAAACTGGTGTGGGCAACAAGCACACTTACACACCCACACTAAGAGGAGAAAATCCCATTATTTGTTAATTCTCTACTATTTTATTGCATCAATCTTTTATTATTTTAAATTTAAAGGGTATGAGGAGGGGCTTTCAAAAAGTTTTTGATTTAAATATAAAGCCTAACAACCATAATTCCTAAACAGTCCAGGTCATATGGAGAGATTCCTAAGTGCTAGTGACCAAAGGGGATTTGGGGGAGGGGAGAAGGTGTCAAGATTAAGTTTAAGCTTCTTCCTTATGTAAATTTTCAAAACTTTCAAGTGAAAAAATTTTAGGTACAGATTCTCACACTGTAAGGGGCAAAATTCACTAAAACGAAAACAAAAAATTGAATTAAAACACTTGGCAAACAATTTCCAAATGAACAACAATTTGGTCCAAAAAATGGATCAGGTCTCCCTTGTCTGAAATTGGGGAAAGCACACTGTTAACATCTTCAGCATCCCACAAAGTTTTTCCTTTCATCTGAGTCTTTAAACTACCAATAAGTGTCTAAACAATAATTCTGCACTATGCTCAGAATTGGCCACCACATCTTTCTAATTCTAGAACAAAACTAAGAATTCAGGGGAGAAAAAAACAAAACACAAAAAACTTCTAAAACATATATTTCTAAATGAAAGCAAATAAGCTCTTTTATCAATCCTCACAGAAAGATGTTAATTAGAAAAAGAATACAAGTTCACTCTTTGTTCTTTCTCTCTCTAGAGCACACCTGCTTTCCCACACCCCTTTCTCCAGAGCTCTCTTGCTCTCTCTGAAGCAGGACCCTGCCTTTCTCTCCTCTCCTTCCCCTGGGTGAATTTTTCTTTGCCTTTCTTTTTCTTAAGCCTTTTCTTGTTTTGCTTCTGCAATTTGTTTCCTGAACCCATGCAGCCCAGCTGGCTCACTTCTTCTACCTCTGGGAACTTTCTAAATAAAAGTTTGCTTCCGTTTAGAAAAAAGAAAAAAAAAACACACACACACAACTTTTTTACTGGAGTCTAATGTCCAAATGAACATAGTACAGTAGTAATCAATCAGCAGCATTACTGCTATAATTCATAGGACCCACCTACTCAGACCCAAATACACACCACACTGAGACTACATTTACAGGTTTCCATACAAAATTAGTTCTTAGTACCCACTTTTGGTCAAGTCAACTAAAAAAAGAAAAAAGTGAGTAAGTGAAAGTCTGTAACGTTATTAGGGAGTAGGCTAATGATATGGTGCCCTGACAGTTAAGTCATAGCATGCTTTTTTATTCAGCAAAAGCAAGAGTATACAGGAAACGTAAGAGGAAGTAGTTAAAATCTAGGCAAAATTTTTAAATGAACATGAATTTTCCCTATACTTCAAAAAAGTTCCAGACATTTCTAGAATATTCAATAAGGCAGTATACTAATTACAGTATTTCACATTACATATAAACTATATTAATGATCACTATAATAAAGGATAATTAGTATTTTACAAAAATACTGAGGAAGAAAGCACAAGACAAATCCTATCCTATCCCATATAATAAAAGTCTAATATGCTGTGCTTTGTCGTCCAGTCGGCCGTTCAACCAATTTAGGTATAATATGCTAATGATATGGTAAGGCTACTCAACCACTAGCTAACGACGTCCACTGACCACCTGGGGGAAGACACTGACTGTAGGTTAGCTAGCTGCGGAGGTCTGGCCAATCAGCACTGAGCAATACGGGCTGGACATGCCCTAGAGCCCTCATGTGGTACCTCCCCAGCTGGCCAACCTCTCATCATGTCCCTCCCCAGGCCCGATCGTGCACCCTCGGGGGATGTCAAAGAGCTGGTTTTGACCCAATCCTGCAAGCACGGCCGAGGGACCCCACTGATGCACTAATTCGTGCACTGGGCCTCTTGTTTTAAAATTATTAGGTAAAAGAAGGAAACCAGCAACCAACATGATTAGTTCCTGTGCCATATTCCACAAAGCAATTCATATGCACTATCGTCCTTAACTCTCAAATTATTTCATTTTAGTGATAAATTTAACCAAACTACAAAGCTAAAAATTGTAGAGCTGAGACATGAATCCCAGTTCTGACTCCAAACTAAAGTATTGCTACTGACACAGCCATTGCCAATAGAAAGATAAAGGGGATTAGATTTATTCTCCATCAGTTAAACAGATTTTCCTACAAGAATATTTATTTAAAACAAAATTATAGGCATATAAGAAAATAAACTTACAAATACATACCTCTACTTCATCTCCTTCACTAATTTCTTTTTTTATATCAGGTGGTGGTGGTAATCTAACTTCATTAAATGGAACTTGACGTTCTGGTTGCCAACTGAAGGATGAGAAAAGACAAACAATTTCAAAATACATTATCTCAATACCCCCTAATATAGAAGCTATATAATCCATGCTTAGTGTTGTATACTTTTCATAGTAGTCATTTAGTTTTCCCTAGGAAAAAGTTCTGTCATATTTTATATTTTCCAAGTAATTAGTTTGTTGAGGTAGAACAGATTTTGCATGATTCTTGGTAAAGTTTAAATTAACATCATTAGAAATAATTATATATTACCTGCCAAATTACTCATCTTAAGGGAACAATCAATTATTCTGCAAATGATATGGACTACATTCATAACTTACTAGTAGATTCAAAATAACATCCCATCAACACCACTGCCTAATAACAGCAGTGGAATCAACTTCAAACACATTTATAACTGAATGAGACATAATTCAAGAGATTATAAAATATAAATGGCATAATTCCATTTTAGTATACATGTTTACAGAAACACAGAAAATTACTCAATTATTTTGATAGCTGAATTTACATAACGTTCAATTTCCTCACATAAAAATTTTCTTTTCAACAATGAACACAAACATAATTAAAACCAGTAAAAGCTTAGTTTTAATGTTTGTAGCAAATATATACCCAAGTTACTAATTTAGCTATTGTTTAACTGGAATATTTTATGTTGTATTTTATAAGCTGAGTTGATGAATAACTTTAAGTTCTAATAGGTCATTCATATACTGAGAGGTATACCAGCACATGAAATGTTCTTTTATCATAGCATATATCTGTATGGGATACACACATAGCAGAAGGCAAGTTAAAAAGATTTTTGAGTGCTTTCTTTTCACCATTACTATCTAAATGGCAGCTGCTCAAAGACAGAAATCATGAAACATGAAACAGCTGTTGGGCAGATCTTTTCTGGCAGTTCCAGAGGAGCTTAAAAGTGAAAGTTGAACAGTTCTTTTCTGACCTTCAGTTATACACAGCCATTGCCAACAGAAAGAGAAAAGGAATTAGACAAGGCCAGCATACTGTTTTTCATATTTTAAACATTACCTAGCTGTTACAATATCTATAAACTGAAATTCCTTAATATTGAAACAATTTGAAAATGACTACCAGTAGCCACTTGAAAGGCTTCCAACAACATTATTTTAACATCTGGGCTTTTTTAAGAATTAAAATCCCATTTGTGCCATTTACTTACTGATTCATGTTCACATGTGTTTTGGCAAAGAAAGGGGTCATGAAAAAATGTAATGAGTAAATGGTGGGCAGAAAAACAGGCAAAGGGTTATCAAAACTAGAATTATTTAAATTCATAAAATGATCAAGCCATCAAAAAGCCTATCCAAAAGCAAAGTTATTTTTCACTGGCAACAGGAAGAACCAAAAGCAAACCGTTTAGCACTACACATCTTTAAAATAAGATCTCTATCAATAAAAAATAAAAATAAAAAATAAAAACTTACTTGTTCTCAAAAACAACCGTAAGGGAGTCTTCATGAACATCTTTGATAAATCCCTGCAAAAGCCAAAAACATTAAAAGTATATCAATATCCAATTAAACATTATGATAACTCTAAAAGGCAATAATACTAGAGATATAAAGAAAATATGGAGTACTGAAAAGAACACAGAGCTAGAATTAGGCAAATCTGAGTTTGATTTCCATCTCATTTGTGAAATGTATAACCTTGGAATTTACTTCAAGTCTCTGGACCAGAGTTTCAAATACCTACCTTGAAATTAGTAAAAAGCCTGAAAAATCATAAGTATAAGTCAATATTCAAATTTAGTGAGGCAGTATTTAGTACTGTGACTACAAGTTCAGGCTATAGGATTAGGATTCCAGATTCACATGCCAGGCTCTCTATCACTTATACATTCCTGAGTGAGGTATCATACCTCATGTGACTGAGAATCAAGTAAAATAACTAATGTTTAACATAGTACTTGGCATAGAGGAAAAAAGTCAAATTTATTATAAATATTAGTTATAAGTATTAAATTATAGCCTACCTTTAATAACAGACAAGACCACATTCTGAAAACTAATCTTACCATTAACCTATTATTATTCCTACAACTTCTCTTCCTTCTTTGCTTATAAAAAGAGGGGGCTATGGTGAGTGCATTGCCTCCAAACCATTTTGGAATGAATATAGACTTGTGGCTCAGTGCACACATTCGTGCACCAGTGAGGTCCCTTGGCATAGCCTGTGGGGATCGGGCCAAAATCGGCAGCCCAACATTCCCTGAATGTAGTAGTGTGCGAAGCAGCATACAACCAGGATGGAGCTTGAGTCTGGGCTGGGCACCTTGCTGCTCCCACTCATCTGGTCCCACTCATCACAGTCCTGCTGCACCTGCTGCTGCCGCTCTGCTGTGGTCTCTGCGCACCTGTGCTAGGGCAATACCAGCATGCCCATGACTGAGAAGCAGCAGCAGGTTCATGCCCAGTCAGTCCCAATGCTGGTCCCAATTCTGGTCCAAATGGGGGAGGGGCCCACAAGGTGAGTGTTCTCTGGAGAGCCTCCCGCTGCGGCAGCTGTGCTTACCATCTGTGAGCCCAGCGTCTGGCACCCATTGGTCAGCTGAGCAGCACTCCCACTGTGGGAGCACACTGACCACCAGGGGGCAACTCCTGTGTTGAAGGTCTGTCTCCTGGTGATCAGTGCACGTCATAGCCTGGAAGACCAGTTGATTGGTCACTATGACATGCACTGATCACCAGTAGACAGATAAGACTAGAGGCCTAGTGCACAAAATTCGTACAATTGAGGGGGGTCCCTCAGCCTGGCCTGTGCCCTCTTGCAGTCCAGAAGCCCTTGGGAGATGTGTGACTGCCTTAGTGCTGCCACAGAGACAGGAGAGGCTCCTACCACCACCACTGCGCTCACCAGCCATGAGCCCAGCTCCCTGGGAGCTTACTGACCACCAGAGGGTACCTCCTGCATTAAATGTCTGCCCCCTGGTGGTTCTGCCGTTCGGCCAATTTGCATATTAGCCTTTTATTATATAGGATTCTCAATAAAAATCAGTAGTCATTTTCTAGCCTTAAAATAATCTTCATTTGATAAATATAGCTGAAAGAAATCATTAGACCTAGCATACTCAAGAAAGAACAAGGGCCTTGGATACAGAACTGTTTTTTAAATCTTTAACATTAGGCATGCAGTTCTTAGCACCTGGTATAATTACAACTGACATTAAATGACACTTCATATTTCTGTCAATCAGAAATGTAAAGTTCTCAATCTTAATCAATGCATACACACACTTTGAAACACTACTTAAATATTAAAAAAATAATAATAAAAATCAGACTAAACTTCTTAAGATGCACTAAAACTAGCTAAATAAACACACATTTTCAGTTCCTGGTTAAAACTTGGCAGAAATAAGCACATCTGTTTACCTCATCTCCTTCTCAGAAGTCCATTAAACAACACCAAAAAGATTTTTTTAGAAAAAAAAAAAAAAAAAAGATTTTTTAGGCATAACCTCCACCTCCCTCCACACACACACACACACACACACACACACACACACACACACAAAATACGAAACTTAGTAAACTCACAAAATAGATGGAGAAGTCTAACCAATTTCTTAAAAAAGCAACAACTACTTGAATAACTATGCTTGAGACATTATTCTGAGTAAATCAGCAAACCAAAAACTATGAAACAAACTGACAGTGGAAAAAAACAGCAAGATTAGCGATACCACTCCAGAAAAATCTTTGGAACTTAGGAGAAGGTAACAGATAGGGGCTGAAAAAAAATTATTTCATTTTCTTCAATAATATAGCAATCACCACAAAGGCTGGTTTGGCTCCAGGATGGTTTGGTTAGAGCACTGGCCATGGCCTTCTGCCCTCAGACCTGGTCACAGGATTCCCTGTCAAGAGTGAGTAAATGGGTTGCAGATTCTCTAGCTCTAGGAGGAGTTGTAAGGGGCAGGCAGGTAGGCAACCAATTGATGTCTCTCTCTCATGTGGATATTTTCCCCTACCGTTTCCCCCCTCCCTTCCACTCTCTCTAGAAATCAATGGGGAAAAACATTCTTGGGTGAGGACTAAAAAAAAATCACCATCACAGAACGTAGATTATAATTCATCTCTCAGTACCCTCCTACCACATCTGCTACTCAATTATATGATTTGTAATTTGACCCCAGCTTTAAAAGCCTATATAACCTGACTTATTTGTGTTATGGGTTACTTCAATGCAAACATTTGTTGAGGCCTAAAACTCAGGATACAGGAGGTTCTCAAATAATGCTGTTTCATTTTAATGTGAAGAAGAAAAAAATCCAATCCCGTCCTGTGTGGAGTTGGCCCATCATCTCATATCTGTGTTCGTTTTCTCTCAGTACTCGTTTCCTCCCACATCCTGAAGATATGCACCTGAGGTGAATGTCCTAGTCTGAGTGAATGTGGGAGGAGTGTGTCCTGAGATGGAAGGGATTCCTCTAAAAGGCTGGTTCATATCTGGCGCACCAAGTTGCCAGGATAGGGTCCAATGCTCACTTCCCCCACCCCAATCCTGAATTGGAAGAATCAGGTTGAAAATTTGTTTTTATTAATCTTTAATTCTGTATAACTCAAATTTCAATGTTTATTGTTAAATGTGTTTTGAATATCCTAATAAAGAGGGAATATGCAAATTGAGGGTCACAACGAGTCAAATATGGTGGTGGCCAGGGCTGGATGTTTGTGTCTTTGCCATGGAACGAAGCAGGTATCCCGCCCCACCGCGGAGGGCCTGTGGGCAGTGCAGGTGCAGAGTGGCCAGAGGGCAGAGCAAAACATTCCAGGCTAGTGGGTGGCCCGTGCAGGCACATAACAGCCGGTGGGCAGCACGCACAAGCACAGAGCAGCCAGTGGCAGTTGTGAACACGCCAAGGGGAGCCTCCGGGGCATCAGTGCCAAGGAGGAGTGGCTACTCAAGTCCCACCTCCTGGCCCAGATGTGTAATCGCAGGGATAGCCACCGTGGTGGGCCAGATTGACGTCCTCCTGACTGCACCATGGGGGTTTGCAGATCTGCACAGCCACAGTCCTCCAGTGCACGCATTCAATCCCCTAGCGAACTGTCACTCACGCGCGCCTGCAACAGTTCCAGACCCTGGACCACGCAAGTTACCCTGCATCGCACTTCCATCAACCTCAGCATGCCTACATCCCCCATAGGACATGTGCACGTCCCTTCCGGCTCGCTCACATCCTTTGGAGAGTGTCTGGGTGCCCTGGGTGCTGAGGGTGGGTGCCTGTGAGATGACAGTGCGAGGACGGAGTGATGATGACCTGTTCTCAAGGAGGCTAGTGTGGTGACAAAATCAACTCCGCGGGGCTAATGCAGGCAGGGGCTGAGCAGAGAGCAGGTGCAGACAGACACACTTGGTGGGCACAGGCAGCCCTCACAGAGGTGCCTTCGTTCAGCGTTCAAGATCATTAACCCAGAGGAGGTGAGGAGTTCCATCCTATCAGTGAAACGGTGGGATAGTCGGGGCGAGTGCAGAGGAGAAATGTGCACTTTGGGAGCCAGCAGCCATGAGCGAAGGCTGCCCTGACTGAGCCTCACTCGTTTGGAGCCTAGCACACTCCTGCCGGGCAGTAGGTGACAGGATGTGCTTTTCCAAGTTAATGAGAGAAAACATTGATTCTCCCGCTACCACTACCTACGAAGGTGGAAGGTAGAGTGGGGAGACACATGGGGAGTGAGCAAGGTTTCCTGTCTGGGGGTTCCAAATCCACCATTGGTTCCTTTCACCGCTGACTAGAGATATACAGGGTGTCCCCCAAAAATGTATTAACATTTTGAATACCTACTTATTCCAATGGGTTTAAGCATGAAAAGAAAGAAACAACAATGGAGCTGTCATATTTTAAAAGTGCAGAAACAAACTGGCAGCTGAACATTCCCCAAGGGGTCCCGGATTGTAGAAGGTGCAGGCTGGACTAACATCCCCCCCCAAACCCACCCACCCCCACCCCACACAAATTTCATGCACCACGCCTCTAGTTTATTTAGAAGCCTGGTGACATTTTTGTGATCAGAAATATGCTTTAGGAATGTTTATTTATCAACTAGAGGCCCTGTGCTCAAATGTTCAGTGAGAACTTAGTGTACTTTCCTTTCAAGAGTGCTATAATGATTCCTGTCTTGCAATTCTGGACTCATTTTTTCTATTCCTCTCCTCCCAAAGTTAAAAATTAAGGATTGTCATTCTAGTAAAAGCTCTGATTATATGACCATACTATATTAATGATATCTGTTTCTCTATTCCTAGTACTTCATCCACACATGTACTTTCAGCAATCACTTTCTGGTGAGCACTTTCATAATTCTGTTGCCAGCACATCTATTTCTATTACACTCCTGCAATTTCTAAGTAATGTTTCAGAAACTTAGAATTTTCAAATTCATGAATATTAGAGTAAAACATATCTTACCATCAGAGGCCAGTCATACTTTCAACTTCCACTAATGTTTTCTATTTTCTAGTCTTCACAAA